TAGTGTTTTGGCAATAGTATGATCTCACTGTTTCAACCTTCAACAAATGCGTGGAACTAAGACAAAGCTTAATATAAAGGAAAAAAGTTGAGAAGTGTCAGAATTACCCACAATGTCGGAATATACCGTGTTTCCCCCACTATGTATTTTTCAAAATTATTCTATTTGAAGGCATAAATCAGTAAATTACTGTACTAACTAATCAACTGGAGTATCCAACATGCTGTATCCGACTATTTCCTACTTGTTTCTAAAATCTTGCGGCTCCAATGTGACAAAATTTTTAATACATTTGGAATCTAGCAGCCCGATCATGCACTTTTGTTAACAATTTGATAGGAGTAAATTCATCTGGCGGGAATCTTGCAATTCCGGAAATGGCAAGAAGCTCTAGTTACGGCCCTAATGGTAGAAGTTTTTCATGCCTGCAACTAATCAACTACAATTTCTATATTTAAAGCATGAGATTGATTAATTATGTTATTTCTGCTAAAGGTTTGAAATATTTTTGGAAGCCTAAAATTTGAACAAATTGTTTTTTTACTTTGAGATGACATGGTTGATTCATAGGAAATATTCTACCTAATGTGATTAAGCAATTACAAATTGGTTTATTATCCTTTAAATAAGAATTTTTGCATTGAAACTTTTGGATGATGTCTACTGCAATATGTGTACAGTGGTATCAAGAGCCAAAGCTGTAAACCAATCATTGGATGGCCACTAATATGTTGCATTGTTCTACCCATTATGGTTAATAGAACCTAAAAGAAACTCTTCATCGAAAGGACAAAAAGCTTATATCACGCTTACACAGGCTGGAATTCTTAGAATGGAAGTTCACTTATAAAAAAGCTTTCCACACTAGTACATATACCATATTTGGGGGCAGGGCTTATGGGCACAACCAATCACAGCTAGAAAGCAGATAACATTACAATTCCATTAACCAATCACAGCTAGAAAGCTGATAACATTACAATTCCATTAACCAATCACAGCTAGAAAGCTGATAACATTACAATTCCATTAACCAATCACAGCTAGGAAGCTGATAACATTACAATTCCATTAACCAATCACAGCTAGAAAGCAGATAACGTTAAAATTCCATTAACCAATCATAGCTGGAAAGCTGGAAAGGGCTAAAAACACAATCCCATCAACCAATCACAGCTGGAAAGGAATAGGATATGTATATAATGGACTGAAAGTGGAAAGTTCCTGGCCTTTCCAAGCTTTCAGGTCCTGCTTTCCAATATGCTATGTGTAGTGGTTATCCCTATAGATTTATATCCCTCTAGATTTATTCTAGAATTCCACACTGTGCTTACGTGATAGTACAATAAATTTTGAAATCTTCTCCAGTCATGGGACTTGAATTCATGCTCATAGCTGATCTTGAATTTCTGCACTGTGTTTAAGCAATTTCTAAAATTGTAAATTTTAAATAGGTACCAACTTTTTAAATTTTATTCTGAAAGCATCACATCTATTGAATTTTAATAGGGATCATTAATTTTTGCATTGTATTTCTGAAAATCAAGTATTGCAGTTCTTTTAAATTAAAAACATTCTTTTACATCAAAAACAATTAATTTTTTCTTACAGCTTTCATGATGATTGATGATATATTTATCTCATATAACTAAATATTTTAAATTGGAAGATTTTGTCATTTTGAAGACTATTGATTACAGAACTTTTGTTTTCTCAAGTGTATTCAAAAACAGTTCTGAAATAGACATTTCCATTACCATATATAAATGAGGTTACAAAATACATAGCAAATCTAATCATTGTCATTTGATTTAGGATGTATGGATGAAAATTTTACCTTTGTTCCCTTGATGCTTATTTCTACCCGCAGCAGCTGTAGAAATACGTGCCAAGGCCATTCAAACCAACACAAGCATTAGGTTGCCGCAGAAGTGTTGCATTGTTCTGTTACTGACTGGTCAATATGTTCTCAGCAAATGTTCTGCATAAAAATCACAAATAACTCTTGCCTTCTTGTTTAGGAGCAGGTAAAATAATTTTTCCTGGTATTCATAACTGATCATTATTTTTGCATTGTATTTATCTATATATAAAATTGACTATCTATGTATTTTGTTGAAGTATCAAATTATTAATTTTAAATACTCATACACACATTTTTGGGATTTAAATTCTGCAAGCATCACTGCTATTAAATTTTAATACACTACATGTCACGTGACTAAATGCTCATTGATTTATGAAAATGAAATTATTACTGCTCCTAAACAACCAACATTTTCTAAAAGACACGAGACGTTCAAAAACAGATAATGGGAGATGAAATCATTCAGAATATGCAGTGAGGTTATTAGACAATATCGACAAAATAGGGCGACAACATGAATAAAATTCATATCTCGATGTGTATCAATAGGTGTTTGAATTTTGAAACAACTTTCCATTATTTAAATCTCAGTGTGGAATGTGGATCAAATCTATTGTGAATTTGAACTTGACATGACCAAAACAAGGTGTGTGATGCCATCTTGTCAAATGTTTTCATGGAAGCACGATGTGCCCATACACTGTGAAAGAGGTGCAATTTATCCCATCATTATGCGTGATATCAAAAACTTTGTTGGTATTGGCCAATTTGTAAGAATTTTTTTGCAAAAGTTAATATAATTTTTTTAAAACATATTCATTGCAAAAACTTGTCAGCTCTAGATAAATGACTAGTCAATATAATTACCGACCCAGTATTGGATTCTGAACCAAAGCCCACGTGCAATAGATGATCCATGGCAGTTTCTGTTCAGCTCAGTCAGCCACAGTGTATCAAGTGTCACTGCGGTGGAAGGTTTAACCAGGGTTTGTACTGGTCATGGAAAACCTGGAAAGTCAGGTTATGGAAAGTCATGGAATTTGCAGGTTATGGAAATTCATGGAATTTGCAAATATAAGAAGAAAAAAAGGAAGTGTTTTTCTGTGCTGCATGTGTTTATTGTTTGTGCAGTCTCTTGTTTCCTGCGTTCTGATTGGAGAACCAATCACATGAGCTTGGTCGCCAAGCTCAGTTGCATTCGGCAACTATTTGATGTGCTGTGGCAGCATTCCATCTTCAGCTTGCAATTTCTCTATCACCATGCCTGGAAAGTGTAAATTTCATGACTTTAATTTAAGAATAGAAGCTTAATGTGACTGGCTTGCTTGCCATCCAAAGCATGAAGGTATGGCGATATGGTAATTATGCTCAAAAGAGTGTACATTGTGCCATGCCAGAGGCAGCAAATGCACTAAGTTAGCTAAGCAACACGGTGAATAGAAAAGCAAGGCGCAGTCAGCAGTCACAAATATCTGATTTGTGGTCCGCTGACAGCAATGCAACTGCAGTTTCTTGCTCCAAAATCAGCACTGCAGTGTCTACTGCCACTGTGAATGTAGAGATGGAGTATCCACTGCCAAAAACAACCCCAATGGCGAACTGACCAGCTTTGTAACAAAAGATGTTCTGACGTCTGAAATTTGGTGGACATTGAAAATGGCGACATCTCACTTTTCTTTTCATAGCAACATTGGCGTAAGTGATTTATTCTGCTTCATGTTTCCTGACAGTTCAATTGCTGGCAAGTTTTCACTCAGCAAAACCAAAGCAAGATATATCACCATTTTTGGCCTGGGACCTTGCTTTTTGGATATGCTGAAGCAAAATGCTCGTTCTGCTGTTAACTTTGTGCTTCTTTTTAACAGGTCACTTAAAGAAGAACTTCAAAAGAAGCAGCTCAGATTGGTTTCATTTCCATTCCTCTGTGTCTGCCTGCTCTATGCATTTACACATGTGCTATTTATGAACTGTGGGAGTCTGGGAGATGATAGAATATGCACAGATAGTCTTTCAGTCATGCTTAACCTGTCATATACGAGTCTTGGAAAATTATATTGATGGTCATGGAAAAGTTGTGGATTTTTTTCTAAATACCAGTACAAACCCTGTATAACATTGTATGCTTTTTGATCTATTTCCTTATGTAAATGTGAGAATATATTAACTTTATAGAATTCCACACTGGCCAGATCAATAGGCCAATACAGGATAACATGGTGGCAAACAAGTTGGACTATTTTATTAAGGGTCAACATAAGAAACGTGAACATGAATTTGGCATTTACATTTTGGCACAAGTTTCTGAACGTCAAATGCATATAAAGTGGACAATTGGATACAGGTAATGCACCTAATTCAATGGCAAACGTGCTTCTGGAAGAACTACACAACCTCACTGGGCCATCTAAAACACTGCAGCAGTGACAACACTCAGCTGCTGTCTAACGAGTTCTCATTCATTTGACTTTTATATTTTTGAAGAACAGTTTTGACTTAAAAAGACACTATAATAGAAAATCATTCAATTTTTGTCAAATATTTAATTTGACAACATACCCTTCTTCCAAAAGAAATTATCAGTGCCAAAGGCTCTCTTTATGGAGGCAAAGATAATTTCATTTCAGTCATTCCTTAACCTATTAACGCCGACAATTCCCTGCAGATTATTAAAACACTTTTTTCCATTTAAGGGATTTATTTAGGTTTCTTCTAAAGTATTGTGATGGAAAAATTTAACTTTTTTCATTATTACTTGGAATACAGACTGGCGAGTTTACTTGCCACCCGGCTATAAAAAAATCATATGTCCAAGAGAAGAGATAACCAGAGTGGGTAGATATCTAAAGTTCATGAATGGATTTGCCAATGGAATCTATGCATGTATTGCCCACTCAAAGTTCATTTTTTCGTGTGAAAGGTTTTCATGCACTCTGGGTGCACAGGAATGTTGCACACACTGCAAAAATAAATGGTACGGGCGCCACATTCATGGCATCTGTTGTACAGGCTTATGCCTTTGTAGTTCCAATGATGCTGACTTCCCTGAAAAGATGCATATTTTGTAGACTAATTGGTTCTTCTTTAATAAAATGAACATTTTACATTTGAATAATTATATATATCTGTTCTTTTCAGGTTACTAATCTATAAATATGGGGAATATATTTGCAAACTTGTTCAAAGGCCTCTTTGGCAAGAAGGAAATGCGTATTTTAATGGTAGGGTTGGATGCTGCTGGTAAGACAACAATTCTCTACAAACTCAAATTGGGAGAGATTGTTACAACCATTCCCACAATTGGCTTCAACGTTGAGACTGTAGAATACAAGAACATCAGCTTCACAGTGTGGGATGTGGGTGGTCAGGACAAAATCAGACCCTTGTGGCGACACTACTTCCAAAATACACAGGTATGTCATATTGTTAATATATTTACCTCTCATGAGATATTTCTGAAGAATGACTCAAGTGCCTTTTTTTTCATGCTAATTAGTGAATATATTTTTGTGCAATGCAGCCATGATAACTTTAGAATTCAGTGATGTCCTCCAAATTGTCATTGGAACCAAAATTGAAGTTTACTCTAAGTCTTTGGATTGATTTGAAGTTTGGATACGTTTTACAAGTTTCCTCTTGAATCTTTGAATTAAATACTGTAATAATTATTCTCTTAATACAAGCCTTTACTCTCTAACAGTTGTTTTTTGGTGCTGTTTAATCTATCTCATTTTGTTATTGTACAGGGCCTTATTTTTGTTGTGGACTCAAATGATCGTGAACGTATTGGTGAAGCTAGAGAAGAACTTATGAGGATGCTGGCTGAGGATGAATTGAGAGATGCTGTGCTTCTTATATTTGCCAACAAACAGGCAAGTTATCATTTACTAATGATCTTGTTAATTGGATTTTCTTGGATAAATATTGGGATGGAATTTCTGCAGGCTGTTCCAGAAATTAAATTTTAGCTGTTCTAGTAATATCTAGTGTCATGTAAATATTATTTTTACTTGATTAGTCATCAATTGTCACATCTTTTCTTGAAGACAATAAAAAATTTTTGTTATTGGTAAAATTTTCATGAATTTGAAAATTACTATGAAGTAAGCCTCGTGTTACATATCCAAGTACAACCTCGAGCATTATACAGCAGTAGTATCAACACCTGTTTTTCTCACGTCTTGAACGTTTTTTTAATATTTTCATTTATAATTTTGTTTTAATACTGTTAAATAACTACAGGATTTGCCGAACGCCATGAACGCTGCTGAGATCACTGACAAGCTGGGCCTGCACTCGCTGCGTAACCGCAACTGGTACATCCAAGCAACTTGCGCCACTAGTGGTGATGGGCTTTATGAAGGCCTTGATTGGCTAAGTAACCAACTGAAGAACGCCAATCGCTAACATCCTTAAGTAAATCTTGAGAACCTTATTACTTTTCTTACTGCTTTAACTTATCTCTAACTCTCACTTCTCTCCTGCAATTCTGCCTCTGTCATCTTCTCTTTGCTGTCTGTCTTTGCTCCACTGGATACTAGCAACTTCATGTACAGTCCGGCTGCCAAGGCCAGCACAGGCCTCGGTCTCGTTCTGAAGTGCTCTCAGTGAATGCGTTGCGGCTTCGTTCCTCCATACGGAATAATTGGTGATGTTCCTGCATTCATTTCATTGTCCTGATGCGTCCTTATGAGGGCATTTTCATGTGGTATAATTATTGATCAACTTGAGGTCAGGTGTGATGTTCCCGCTTGTCATTGGGAGCCTCGAGAGCATTGAAAACCTTGCCCTAATATGTGTTCTTCGTGGATAGGTTTTAATATTGTCTTTTTTGGATTGAGGGTCTAAATTTTAACATTTCTTCAAAGTTCAAACGAAGTATTAGCTTTTTAGTACTATCCTGTCATTGATGAATTGGAAAAAGTGATTTAGAAAGTTAGGCCTTTGTCATTATGTGGTGTCCTTGCCCCAACTTGTGTCTTCATGGAAACAAACCCCCAATGTCTCGCTGGAAGTTCGTGTCTCAATATACTTTACATGCTGTGACCAAACTATCCATTTGAAAGGTCGTCATCATATACTATAACCTCCCTCCTTATTTTACTGGATGCATGAGTTTTAAAGTGGTTTTTGTACGCCTTGTGGTTACAATTGCCAGTTATTGCGTTAGAGAACCTGCCCTGGCGCAAGGTTCTTATCAAAGTTTACCACTGAGATTTAAGTATTGCTGCGTTCATCATGCTTCTTCGTTTGTGCTGTTCAGCATGAATAGCGCCAAAACGCAGCATGCTGCTCAGTACTTATGGCGCCACAACGCAGCGTGCTGCCCAGCATTTTAGCCCCACAACACAACGTGCTGCTCTGCATGTATAGCGCCACTTCGAAGCGCGTTGCTATGCATGTACAGCGCCACTTCGAACGTGCTGCTCAGCGTGTCTAGCGCCATGATGCTGCAAGCCGAGGTGCTGTGCATGCCTCAATGACCGCAGCAACTTGCCTCTCACTACGAAGCTTCCACTCATTCTAATTGGCTGGGAAAACGTGGACATTCGCCTGCGTAACGAAGATAAATTGCGCGATGTGTAGTCCTTCCTTGAATTCTTTAAAACTTAGTGTAACTTACAATGTAATAAATCCGTTTCGATGCCTAAAAATGTGCTGAAATTTGCGTTTGCTGGAAAATTGTTCTGTTAGATTTTGAAATTGGAGCGCGGTGACGCTAGTGATATTAAATTGAGTCCATGTTGCAGTGCGCTGAAGGAGAATTGCTTATACTTTAGGGTAAAAATTTGTTGTTCTACGACAGTGAGATTCAACTGTCTCCAAGTGCGCAGAACCATTGCTGTTTTCATTTTGTATGAATAAGATAATGAGCCGAATAATTTGGGTTTAGATTTAAGCCTATGTCTATTTATTATTATTCTTTGCAGTATCAAGGCCGTATGAGCTCTTCACTCGCCTATTTTTTTTCTAAGTGCACGATTATAGCTTGAAAGAGATTGGCCTTTTGACAATTTGATTAACCTTGGCCTTTTGGCAATAAGATTAACGTGAAATGATCATTGCAGCCGCAGTTCACAACATTCCCAATAGAGGCAAAATAAACTCCCAGTCTCTAATCGTGCCCGCAATTTATTTGTTGTGACCTTTTTGTTAAGCTCGTTCCTTTGAAATAGCGAGAGTGATTGCCTTTAATAATAAACTACGATGGCATATTGGAGTGTAAGAGTTCATGTTTCTAAGCTGCTCGGAACAAACTCTTAATGAAGTCCAATAAAACATTTGTGCTGATGTCATAACATTCTTCCTTGAGTTTTGCGGGCGTCTTCAGTGAGCCTCGGTCTTTCCGCCACTGACGTAGTTCTGGGTAAAGATGGACAGTTGTTCAGTAAATTTATGATTTTAATAATATGTATCTTCTCGGATGCACTTTGAAGTGCTGAGTTGTCGTGCGTTGTTGAGCCCCAGTTGTGAGCAGCAGAGCCGTCGTAAATTCGGTTAAAAATAGACGACACTGATCTGAAGCGCTAGAAACCTCTCCCTACTACTACTACTAAATTCGGTTCACTGACGCATGAATAATATTATTGCGGATAGTAATAATTACACGTTATAATTTTCTTCAGCTGTTTCAGACTAAAGTTTGTGTCCACCTCCAAGCGAGCACCCACTTGAGACGAATCTAATAGTTACGAGGTCCCCGTCCAGTTCTCTAGAAGACCAGCGAAAGCCAGTGTAGAATATTCCCCGTAATTGTCAATGAAAAAATTATTCATTTCAGGGCGCAGGTTGTAAGTATGTCGAAAGCTTCGACACACCCCGTCATATCAGAGCCTTGGTGAGAAAGCTTCCTGCTCCCTGGATCACTTCAACTGCTAATTAGTTTCAATCTAACTGAATGCTTCAATGCATTCAATACACAAATACAGGGCTTGAAAGTCGCGAGATCATCTCGTGGATGCCTCCAATTTTCTCTCAGGCCGCAGTGGATGTTTCCTACTGAGCGTCCCAGCCTCGTTCAAAACTGTCAAATCCAAGGTGCGCTCTACCGGCAATAACGAACGAGTCGCCACTCGCAAAACTCTTGAGGGAGTCGTTTCTCAATAAAAATTATATTATGCTGGTCAGAAATATGATTTGTGGGGTTCTATTACCACATAAAAACTACGAAACTTACGATATGCGGTAGAAAAACATGATGCAATGCATCAAGTAAGATGAGGTTGAACACGATGCATCAAGTAGGGTGAGGTTGATGAAGCCAGACTGACACGAGAAAAATCTTGGTTCAGGAAAGTCTCGCGTAGTGTGATTTCTCAAGAAAAGTCGAGCATGGAAGAGTTCCCTGCTTTACTCAATTCAACGTTGGTACACAACATAAATACGAAGAAAAAGATAAGGGCATTGCATTTGCTGGAGAATAATAGAACATAAGCAACCTATTGTGTTAAAGCAATGACTTTTTATCGACACATACGTTACAGTTAAGCATTATTAATAAAAAGATAACCGTACATTGAATCTATATCTTGTTAGCGCAATCATCACTTCAACAAAAACTAATTTAGTTTGATTCTCAGCAGAATTGCAACAAAAGCCCGCCAGCCCTTTAATGTTAAATAGTTGGTTAGTACATACAATAATTATTGCGTGTAATATACTTATACTATTCGCACCTATGAGCCTGGAAACGAGTTACGGTCAGTAGGCAGAAAGTGGTTAAAGTGAAGCTTAACTCTTGACCGCACAATCGACGCAAAAATGTGATCCCCGTACCAGCCTAAAGCCTGGGATACAGCTGGTAATACATTGCTGAAGTTAAGTAACTCAACGTCACGTCACGAAAACCAGAATAATTTTTCCTATTTCCGCTCGTTGCAAGGTCAGAAATGTAATGGATATTCGCTGAGATTCAAGTAGTGTGTGCGACACAGGTGCCTCCTTCGACAGTGTGGGAGACACAGGTGTCCGGGAAATGCACGACAGGTTCACGAAGCTCAACATAGGACACGTGACAACATGCGTATGTGCAGGGCTTCCTTATGCATCACTTCAGCAGATTGCCGCTGCTGAGCAAGTGTAGAATAAGAATGTCCTACACCTCCACATGTTACGCGTGTCCAATGTTCACAGTAACTTGAACATCATAATTATTACCATGAACTTGATACGTAAATCAGCCTCGCAACAGCTAAAATACAAATAAGATAAGTCACCAATTTTTATTTTTCGGATCGTGACGCCGGGGAGGTGAAATCAAGAGGTGTTGAAACGTTCACAGGTCCAGGCGAGTACCAAGGCTTCTCATGACTGGGGAGCTCGGATCAGGTTTGGGGGGCAGAGGCGGCGGCGAGTCATTCTCAACTTCAACTTTGACTTCTTCCTTCTCAACTTCGCCGTATTTGTTGAGTTTATTGAAACTGAAGAGCGCGGACAAGCGCCCCATGGTTCCAACACGGGCTTCTCCGTTAGCTTCACACTTACCTCGCTTCTTCGTTTCACGTTTTTTCTCTTTGCCTTCTTCATTCTGCTTCGCATCATCTTGCTGCTTTTCCTTGCTCTTCTTGTTGATTTTCTTCTCCTGTTCCTTGACCTTCTTAACCCGCTTCTCCTGCTGCTTCTCCACCTTCTGCAGCTCGCGCGTGAAAGCGTCTGGCGAGGCAGCGACCTCCTGCGCCGCCTCCTCCACGTCCTCCTCGAACGGGTTCAGCGACCTGCCAGCCGACGCGTCCAACCTACATGCATTGATCATGGCTTTAGATATTGGAAATGGTCATGGCTTTTGGAAGAAAGAATCACCAATCTCATATTAAATGACGTGGGACTATGAAATGAGGTGAATGATGATCGCTAGATGTCTGAAGATCGTACTTGCTTAATCGTACATCATACCATGATCTCTCTCATGACCGTAAATTGTACAATAATCGTACTTGTACGTAATACAATAGTTTTTGGAATTTTTACTTTGGTATTCATTTAATAACTACTTAAGTTTAAAGCCGATCTTGAACAAGCTTTTTACATCTTTGCTTGGCCTAGGGAAGAAAAGTCTTCCAATTCGTAAAAAGTAATTACTTGATAGTTACTCGACATCGGAACTATGACGGACAGACGGAGAATCTCCTTTTAGGTTTAAAGTACTTAAACGCGAGTCCATCAAAGAAGGAGAGTACTTGGCAAACAATCAGCTGCACCTAAAAGTGACCTCAAAGCATAAAAATTAAAGACTGGATAATCGGCACATGATATGAACGAGAAAATTATCCAAAATACAATGACTGTTTAGCAGAAATCTAGGGACACGGGAGTCGAACACATCTCCTTCCATAAGCTGATAAAAAATATTAGTTTTTGCAAATCATGATGGTATATCAGTAAAAAATCTTCAAAGATATATTTCGATTTTGGAGAAAGCGGTGGTAATCACTCTTCTGCTTAAATTTAAATTATGAACGTATTAACGATCAAGGGTTGGCTATAATGATTGCAAACGCACATGACAAAAAAAGGACTATGAGTTAATACTAATGCCACTGACCTGCCTTGCCGAAGAGCGTTGAGCGTTCCAGGCTAAAGCTGAAGGCGATGCGGCCGAGGCAGGCAACACACGTGTTAGATGACAGCGCAACGCCACACTCGTTAAGAGGAGGGACCGCAACAAAATAGACACCACACTCGCAACTTCGGTCCATGAGGCTACTCTAGTTAGGTTACGAGGACATAAATATGCACCACGCGTCCCCTAGAGTTTGGTTACGAGAACATAAATATGGACGCACGTCTCCTTCGTGTTTGAGTAAGGTTAGCATATATATATAGACGCACGCGTCCAGGTAGTGTAGTCTCGAGTATCATACATTTGGTGTCGCGTTTCCACGTAATGTTGGCTACGTGGAGCATAATTGGGTCAGGTTCTTCCATAAGTTTCGCTACCAGAAACAGAAATGTATTGCGCTCAGGATGATCGCTCAACCTCTGGGATGGCCATCAGTGACCACCCCACAAGCTTCAGACCTCGCGTTCCTCCCGCCATGACACACTCAAGAGAAATTCACGAAACTTTGTCCAAATAACTTTTGTTCTTATGTGGGTCATCTGGACCCAGTGTGGGCGGGAAAGGACGTATCAGTGTTACATCAAGTGTGTCATTTTTCTGACAAAATGACCCATCCATTTTTCCGAGTGTAGGCACTGGTTATTGACGCACACACACGCCTATACTCACGAGTATTAGGAATGAGTATCGAATTTATGCAACTACTAATAAAACACAAAAAAGTCACGCACTTAACGGAAGCAGAAAAACAATTTGTAGCATGATTTATTCGGGAGTCTGGAACGTGTACAATGGTAAACGAAGTTATTTTAAAGTTAGGGCAAAGAAAAGTTCTCGCCGAAATGAAGCAAGTAGGAAAAAAACTAAAGGCTGGCATAGGTAAAGTAGGTAAAGGAATTGGGTAGTTAATTGTATAGGTAAGAGAGGGTAATCTTAAACCTAATGGTTTGAAATAGTAGCATGCTTTTAATATATCGCATCCTACTCAGATTGCTGGCTACAATGACCATTTCTAACGTCAGCCGTACAGGATATTTATCTTAACCCGGTAAGATAAAAACTAAGGTCATGACTTTACGTAAAATTGAAATAAGCCTATAGCTCAGGAAGAGCTGCCAATTTCATGTGCATTGTTTGTGACATACAGCAGATGAGTTTCTGGTATATCTAAGAGACTCTGAGTCTTATTAGGCACATGCCAAAATCAGAAAACTTCGAGTAAATAGACCAGATGGTACTGGGTTATCGAAACGTTATTTGTATCGTCTTGAGCCGTGACATTTGTCCTGTGATCAGATCAACTCTAAAATATGTTCGGATTATTTAACTTTGTGAAGTGTTTTAAACACACAACATAATCTTAAATCACAATATCGAAAAAAGTATTTATAAAATGTACTTTAATTAGCGTACATTTTTCAAGCAATCAGTTTGGCATGACACTAAAATTATATAATAGGGGAAGTGAGCTTTATTCGCCAACGCCCACCTTATACAAGTTGAGTACAATCCTCTTTTAACATCACAAACATTACGATGAGTGAGTTTACTCATACTCGTCATCGAGGGCGAGGTACGCCTACAACATCGCTACTACAGCAGTCAATCACGATTCAGATTTACGACGGATCGAATGTACGACTTTTATTCCCTTTCGGCAACAAGGAAAATTTTCACTGAATCAGCCTTTAAGGCATCTGAATTTGCGGCGATTGTCAGATCCAGTGAGCGCAGCAGTAGTTATGTTACATGGAGTCCCAAGGCCACACTGCAGTGCGAGTGAATTTTCATCTAAACTTAGAGAGTCACATACACGTTATTTAATTACGATAGAGCGGAGATACGACGATGACATATAGCGTTCACTTGAGCAAAGGAGGCAGAACTGCCTACACACACTATTCTTTATATCTAAGGATTAAATTGACAGACAAGACGAGAGCTTCTCAAGCTAACGTGATGGTTGACTATTCTATGTCTAATCATACGACGCATGTGGAGGAAGAACCGCGTATATGCACTATTTTAGTACATTGATGGTACAGGAAATGGCTTCTTGTCAAATTATGAACTGGTCCATACGCTCTTCTCCAGCCGCAGGCGTCCTGAATGTTAATAAAACCCGCACTATTCTTATGAAATAATACACAGTAGTAAAGTATGTAGTAGATATACCCAGTAATAACGATTTATATTATATGCTAAGAAAATCTTTTCATTTACTAACTGGTCACCCATGCAATCTTTCATCATCCTTCGACCCTATTACAACATAAATTAGCTGGTCTGTTGCAAAAATCTCAATTCTTTAGCTGGTCTGTTGCCACTGGTCCATCACGACAATAATTTCTATTGCTTCGACCCTATATGACATCCCAAATTTGGAGGCCAGTAATCCACCAGTTTTCAACACGGTTGCTTGCGAAGATCTAAAACATGATAGATCCGAACACTTCTAGAGGCGAGTTGTAAAAATTGGAACATTAGAGGTTTGCTAACAATTAAATCTCATTGTTTTGTTTGCATTTGATTTGACTTCTAACAACAAACAAGAACTCGCTTCTAACGATCTGTAACAACTAGGCCAACGATTGTAAATGTTCAAGTTGAAATCCTGACATATTAACAACTAAAGAGTGTTTTCTTCACGCCAAGCTTCGAACATTACTCGACAGAAAATGCAAAACATAAGAGAAATCATAGATTTTACATCGTCAATTATTACGTAGCAAAGACATTTTTTCACAGTTAGCCGTTTTATTTCTGTAACAAACAACGGCCAGTTCCAAAATTCAAATGTGCAAGCAGCACAAATACCTTACAGGAAAGTGAAATACGTCTACCCTGCAAGTACAGTATATGAACAGACAATAAGATTACCTACGAAAATAATAAAGAAATAATACAATTATAACAGCAATCGACATGACACAGGTAAGAGATTAACATGCGTCGTATTGCGAGTTAGCAGGAACCCGAGGGTCGACATCACTCAAGCCAAGCTCTAACACACAAAATATTCACATAATATTCAATAATTATATACTCATATAAACACATAAATAAAACAAATAGAAGCAAACTTGATGTTAAATAGCAATGATAAAGCGTAACATGGTAAGGCTTCGGCTTTAGCAAAGACAAAATTGATTATATTCGTGGATACGTCATAGATTTGAAGCAATGACGTAATCTATGTTAATAGTGCATATAAAAACGCGCACTCCGAACACTCAAGGGCAGAAAATGAAGGGGAAACACATAGTTTGTTGGAGAAAATTATCGTCTAAGTAATTCTAGTGACGGTTGATAGTGAGTTCAATGAAATGTAGTATTCAATCAAACGCTGGTCACGTTCATTTCACAAGCTCCTTGCTCTCTTTTATTGCAACAAGAATAGATAAAGAAGATAGAAAGATACGCGGCAGTATACACTAGAGTGCCAGAATGTTATCTCTAAAATCTAATTCTATATCCTTAATGCGCTAGTATCGTCATAAAAGGATATATGCTATTGAAGAAATATCTTCTTGAATATCCGTACTTGGCAGCCTAGGTAAATAGGGTACATTTAATTAACAGGAATCAGGCAGAAATCCTTCTCGCTTAAGGCCTGTGATTTTGATGAGCAAACTCTCGGTGAGGGTTGGGAGTTGGTGGAGCTGGTGGCGCTCTGCTGCGAGGTAGCGGTGGGGTAGGTGGATGGATTCAAAGAAGTGTGCAAGAGGTGGGGCTGGGGGCCGGTACAAGAGGTGTGGTTATGGTGGGGTAGGTGGATAGCTTCACAGAAGTGTGCTAGAGGTGGGCTGGAGGGCCGGTATAACAAGTGGACTGAGGTTGCCGGTGGGGTAACTAATAAAGATGGTGCAGTTACGGTGTTGCGAGTGTGCCAGTAGAAAGTGGGGTGGTTGTAGTGGGGTAGGAGGGCCGATACAAAGAAGTGTGGTTACGGTGGGTTAGAGGTGGCGAAAAGAAAGTGTGGCTAAGACGTGAAGTAGGTGTGCTGGAGCAAAGTGTAGAACGAGTAGGAGGGGCGAATACAAGGAGTGAGGCAGCACACGTTCGGGCTACAAAGTGGTGTGCTGGCGGTGGGTTAGGTGTGCTATAACATAGTATTGGTGATGGTACAGAGGTGCTATTACAAAATGGTTAGTTGTTGTCGGGGAGTGGGTGCTGGGACATGGTGAAGTTTTGGTGCTGGTGGTGTGCTGCTACAACGTGGTGTGGCGGTAGGTGGGGAGGTGGGTCCGAGTAAGAGGTAGCGACAGGTGAGCTCGAGGTGGGACGGGGTGGGCCGCAGTCCTGCAGTGGGCAGCATGAGCAGAGGAGACAACCATTACATTTATCATCCAGTTGGAATGTAATGGTTTTATACATATTTCGGTCGGAATGATTTCTTCCATCCATGACAGCGACGGTTTTAAAACTGTTCATTATTAGTCTTGTAAGACTGATTTATAAACTTACATTTTCCGGCTTGTTCTCTTCGTCTTTACGTTTATCATTAATGATAGTACCTACGGAGAATTGCACCAAAAGTTGAAATTTTTTCCTACTATCTATATACGGAAAGGAGTATGCGGCAAGTTCAACAATCTTATCTAGATCAGCTTCATCATATTTTCTGATGAGCCATTTGAGGTGGTAAATGCCAGTGCATGATATATTGAAAGTTTATCATCCGTTTTCTAATAATCATTCCCATCACTGGGGGAAGGGGAGGGGGGAATGCAGTTTAAGTTTAGTTTAACTTGCATTAGTTGGTCAGTGCTACACGGTTATCTTATTTGCATATGCGTTAACTATATGATGATGTAGCAGCTCTACTAAGGCAGTATATAGGAATGACTTGCAATTGGACCATTTTGGCAACTAATTTAATATGCATTGTTAAAGGCATCTTTTAAATTGAACTCAAAATTCTCAATTCAGTAACTCGTAAATCAATTAATCTCTTTTCTCTCACGACAAAAATTATCTGAAGTTATTAGCCGACTTCCTCTTCGGCGGAAATAAGCAACTTAATACGTATCATACATAAAATGTGCGAAAGATGCACCCGTTTAAGTATCACATTTGCAAAGCAGAGCTTTTGCAAAACTGAAGGGACCGTGCAAAAAAAAGTTGGTTTCCTTCAATATTAGACTAGCTCAGTGTTATACGAGTTGCCCTCAGTATGAAATTTGTTAGGAAAAATTGTACAATTTACGCAGGTTGATAAAGCGAAGAATAAATAAACGAAAAGATGATGCATGGCAGACCTCAAGCGAGTGAGCCGAACGCAGCCAGGATGCACCAGGCGGATGAATGAGGGAATGGATGTGGGGGAGAATAGAAATACTGGCGCTATGAAGTTTTAAACTCATCATAAGGTGTAGTTACTTGTCAATAACTACACTATAACGAATAATTCAATCGCATAATGTTTAAAGCGGTATTTTCCGTTTATTCAGGTAACATTTGACTAGACCCACCGACAATTTTTGTGTGTAGATGTTTTGATATTTTCATCAGAAATATCCGTCAAGAGTTGAATCACCGTTGCAGAAGTGGTGATGCAAAATCAAACAGTTCATAATATTGACTTCGAAAAGAGCACAATTTTCACGTGCTTTCCATACGATGAACCCTATACAACTCCTGAGGTTAGCGGGATTAAGCAACATGACCGAGCGTGGTAGCTGATATCTTCCTTCAAACTTGTTCTAATCACATGCTCAAAGATGCGACAGATTATAATAACAATTTGTAATAATTCGTCCTGCTTGCGCAAAACTTCTAACGATTACAGCTTCGATTTTTCGACTATTGTTTTTAGGAAAGTACAGTTCCTGCATCACATCCCACTTGCACAAGAAGCTCATGTGTCGTTGTTAGGTGGTATCCTAAAATCTATTAATATTACCGAGATAACAACAGTATTTCATTCAGACAACCATGGTGTGGATTAGTCCTGAAAGAAAGCACGTAGCGCCAACAAGGTTAGCACGTGTAAACGGTTAGTACGGGTAAATGAACATATTTTAGTGGAGTTATCGATCAGAGACACGACGATTTTCCATGCGGGTGATGGCCGACATCAAAGAACGGAAATAGGATCTACTTGAAAAATTATTCGCAAACTAACCCAGCCTGTACTGGTCATTGTGGTCCATTCACTACTTGGACGGTCTTGTTAGCGCCCACGAATGCTGGATTAATAAGTGAGATTATTAATTAATACACAAGTAAGACATTCAAAGGCATTTAGGGACCGATTTTTCAGAAGATATAAATTTAATAGAAATTATGAGTGGGTCAAAGCAAAATTAGTGGTCAGGGTAATACCGTTTTTGCTGGAGAAGCGGGAGGCTCCGCTAAATAAGCTTTGTCTTCAGTGAGAGCTTTAGTGAATCTTGCAATGAACCAATAAAAAGCGAGTGAATTGAACTCAAATCGTCGAGGTAATTGACTTAAACTTCTTGCGTGTAATGTGAAAATGAAATCATTCAACTGAAGAATAAGCAGCATTGTTCCCATGGAGTTTGAGATGACCAGAGAAATCTTTCACTGGTCATCAGGGGCCATACTTTCAAAACTCGCTAAGTGAACGTAAGTACTTACGCTCCATTTTCTTGTTCTATGATTGGTGGATTTTGCTTGAAAGGCCGTCAATGATTGGCTGATGAGCTTACGATCTCTTAACTTTTTTTGAAAGTATTGGCCCTGATCATCAGAGCTCCAGGCGATATAGTGGGAACTGCGGTGCAGTGAAGGTCGTGTTAGCGGTAATAGAATGACACAGCCGAGATAATTGGGAGCCAAGGGTAGTGATGATGAAAGGGTAGAGAGCAAGCAAAACAAGAGCAGCAAACGTAATAGGTTTATTGAGGAGAATAGTAACAACAACTTCACAACTTAGTATGTACAATAAATAGCACAATGCACTTAGTATGTTAGATTTAATGCCACATGAAACTAAGTCGACATGATTACATCAGATCTCTTTGGCAAGGGCGTTATGTTAAAAAGTCATTTAAATTAACCTACGTATAGCGCAACATGTATGACGCATACAACACACGCGAGTGACACATACATTTAACACACATGCATGCCGCAAAACGCACGCACACATACCACACACACGCACACAAGAAGAATCATAATACGACGAGCCAAGCACACACGCAGTTTATTGCACGCACTGAAGTATAAAGCCTCAGTTCACTGCACGGTAAATTCTTAGTCTCCTCACACAACAAAACTAGTATCGTTATTATTATATTATTATATTATTAAACTAGTATCATTATTATTAGATAATAATCTCGCTGCTATGCTCATCGAGAACTTATCGAACTAGAACGACTGTCTTAACCGGGGAAAAAATTTTAAAAATAACGTTCTCAGCTCCGTAAAAAATAATCCATTATGAAATTGATAGATGAGTTCTTAGCAAAAGATGAGGTTTTAGACTGACAAACAACTGGGTTCATTCCGCAGTCAAACAAGGGATGTGCAGTGTTTACAACTAGGACTCGTGGCTGTCATTTCACCAGCGTGGACAGACGTTCCGGTTACGTAGACTATTGGCACGGCGTTTTGTGCAACACAATGTGGTGATATCATACAATGCATCGCAGGCACGTAAATGCAATGTTTTGATATCATACAATACATTGCAGGCACGTAAATGCAATGTTTTGATATCATACAATACATTGCAGGCACGTGAATGCAGTGTTTTGATATCATACAATAACTCGTAGTCACGTAAGCACCTGCACTCTATATGAAAATACAGCACACAGTCACTCAGGGTACAATAATTCAGGCAATAAAATGATTATACATGTTGCAAGATATGGAAGGTAAAGAGTGGTAAAAATATTTAAATACAAGACAGAAAGAAATAAGAATTTCAATCAAACATCTCCAAGATTTGCGTCACAAGCAAGAATTCAATAAATATCGTAGAATGTTGTACATGTACAGGAGCGATGGTAGATGTATAATAAAGTATTTCTTGTAGCAGAAATGCGACATCAAACATAAGCGCGGCGTGCACCACAGACAGCCACGGATGTTCTCACTGAGGGCATTGTTATAGATAAGGGGCCCTACTTTCAAAACTCGCTAAGTGAACGTAAGTACTTACGCTCTATTTTCTTGTTTATGATTGGTGGATTTTGCTTGATAGGCCGTCAATGATTGGCTGATGAACTTACGATCTCTTGACTTTTTTTGAAAGTATAGGCCCAGATATCCATACAAATATCCGTATTCGCGTCTAATTCTAATGTAACTAGTTGGCTAACTAGTTATTCTTTCTTAGCAGCAACGGAATGAACAACGGTCTGCATAGGAGCTTCAGGACACATTATTTGCTAGAATATTGTATATAATTTATTTAAACATTTACCGGGCGATCGGTATCGGTTAGGTTAGGATCGCATTACCGGGCGATCCTAAGCGCTGCCATTATTTTATAGAAGCTGCACATTTTCCTAAGCACTGTTATTCTTGTACAACTGCTGCACATTTTCCCAAGCACTGCCATTCTTGTACAAAAGCTGCACATTTTCCTAAGCACTGCCATTCTTGTACAAAAGCTGCACATTTTCCTAAGCACTGCCATTCTTGTACAAAAGCTGCACCTTTTTCTAGGCACTGCCATATTTGTTCAAAAGCTGCACATTTTCCTAAGTATCGAAACTCTTGTACAAAAGCAGCACAGTTACTATAAAGCAGCTCATAGAAATGATGCCAGTATTAGACGTTACAGCTCACCTGATGTAACGGCAACTGCCATACATGACAGCAAGTATCGCTGCTGGAACACAACTACTAATTCGACACGAACGAACTGCACCCATGGCGCTAATTTATTAACCTGAAACCAGGCACCATCTAACGAAAACGAGATATATAACTCAAACGAAAACACTATATCACTATAATTAACAATTTACTAGCTAAATGATTGTTCAACACAAAAACATCGACGTTAACCAAAACGATTTTATGTGAGTTAGGGCCCATGTGACCACCAAATAAACTTTACGAACAACACGCGACAGATGAGACCTCTTACTTCTGATACAGCATCGCACAAACAAAGAAATGAGAATAAAAAATGCTATTCCATATATCTAGAAACAATATTGCATGAAAGTTGAACTAAATGAAGGAACAACTTTGGCAGGAACATAGGACGAGAATAAGTGAAGCCGGATAGTAGCGTTTCAGGATCCCAAAGCAGCATCGCGGAAGGCCAGGGGCCATACTTTCAAAACTCACTAAGTGAACGTAAGTACTTACGCTCTAATTTCTTGTCTATACGATTGGTGGATTTTGCTTGAAAGGCCGTCAATGATTGGCTGATGGACTTACGATCTCTTAATTTTTTTTGAAAGTATAGGCCCTTGTAAAGAGAAACAAGAAGCTGCGCTCAGGCTGTCCAGCAATAGAGTCGACTAGTGTCAAGACGGGGACAAGTGTGCCTCAATATTGACATGAAGTGGGCCTATGTGCCACCACTAGTGGAAAGAGGGCCTCATCTTGCCACTGGTGGGGCCCACGGGCACGTGAGCCCCGTATATGTGCCACAACTCTGCACGCCTGAGTCCAGCAGAGCGCGCTGTCATCAAGCGTTTTCTGCACGCTACAACCCAGAGCGGAAAAACAGAACGTATTCCACAGGAAAATAAATATGAACTAATAGAAATAAAAAACAGACTGAGGTTCAACCAGAAGATGATGCGAGAGCCATGCACAGATGTTCAACAAAATAGCTTGGCTTGATTACATACAAGAACTTCGTAATACTAAACCGTAACAAATAAATTAATTAAGATGGTTTGGTTTGATCAGATTTGACGAGAACTCGGTAAAACTAAACAGTAAATAAATTAACGGGTCCGAGGTAGGGAAGCAAGACTTTGAGAAACTAAAACTATGCATACGTTACCTGTGTCCGAGAGGCAAGAAGTGAGACGGAAATATTAGGTCGGTACATAGCTTTGTAGGCGCTAGAGCAGCGATATATAACGCCATCGCAGTTTACTGATAAACGAAGCGAGATAACCATCGATGATGTACCCCCGATTTTACAAGCTACCTCAACAGTATAACAAGTAAACGATCCGTTCTGAATAAGTTCAACCAAAAATAAGTTAGTGTGAAAAAAAACAGCCACAAAAATTCACCTCTCCCTCCAAAAAAGAAAGAAAACCACAGCGAATCCCATTTAAAATAAAATACACATTTTTTTAGAAATATAAATATATATTTCTTAGAACTTAACACGTAAAAATATTAACGTTGTTATGTTGCATCAATTACACGCACGCAGCACCCGTACACGCACGCAACACACGCACACACATGCAGGCTTACTGTTGGTTCGGGCACCGCTACGACTGAGCAGGTTTATAATGACGCTATGGATAACAATTAGGATGAAGAATCTTACGTATCAGCACAAAGATACAATAACAAAAGATAAAAATAGAGATTCTTGTCCATAAAAATTGCGATAAGATATTGAGGGATGAAGATACGAGTTAGAAGCATTAATTAAGGTATTAAAGCGGTGACTATAAAGTGATGGCTATGGAAGGTCACAAGAGGGAGTGCTGGGCGATGGCTTGCTGGTAACTATACCTGTCAGAGGGCAGGGAGGGGGCGGCGCCCCCCCGCTGGGGGATGGGGGGTGCCACCACGCGACCGTTATCTCCTGCAACAGGATAACTGTTATCAGCCACGCTGGTCATATACATTTAGCAGTTTTAATTAAAAAACTCAAGTGAAATGTCCCGCCACTTCTCTGTAATTGACGGAAGAAACTCTCGACGCAGCACCCACAGGAAATATTCAACAATCATAACTTTTATTTCTAAACCTAAATTTATAACCTGAAATAATGAACGTACAATATAACAAACAACTCCCACATCCTCAGCTGGGTTTATCGTAACGTCTTACATGTACCTCTAACTAACATCCCTAATGTTACAGGGCACATCCCAACCACAGGGCTCTTAGCCAGAGCCCCGTCACGGGTTACGCTTCCCTCCAGGGCCTCACCATGGGGGAGAAACCCAACCAATTGAAGCATCAAATGGTGAAGCAGGCCTCACCACGGGGGAGAAACCCTACCAGTTGAAGCATCAAATGGTGAAGCAAGCCTCACCACGGGGGAGAAACCCAACCAATTGAAGCATCAAATGGTGAAGCAAGCCTCACCACGGGGGAGAAACCCAACCAATTGAAGCATCAAATGGTGAAGCAGGCCTCACCATGGGGGACAAACCCTACCAATTGAAGCATCAAATGGTGAAGCAGGCCTCACCATGGGGGACAAACCCTACCAATTGAAGGTCGGCACACACCGGCATGGTCGTGGTGGGGGTCGCGGCCGGGGGAGAAGACAGGGAGGTCGGGGACGGGGGGAGGGGGCACGTCCGCGGCGAGCTTGGAGCGCAGCAGATACACGTACGCCCGGTACCGCTTGATCTGGGGGGCAGGGGGAGTTAAGGGGCGTGGAGGAGGGTAGGGGCAATAGGATGGGCACTTGTGTTTAGGGGGAGTGCCATTACAAGGAGTAGCCATACCTAATAATGATAGGTCATAATAAAAGGTATAATGACTGTATTTATAATGAGACTCCTCGCTATCGGCCTCCTTAACTACAGCACCTAATATAAATGTCACCTCTTATAATGGAGCGTGTCAGTAATAGGCCTTGCGGCATGTCACCTGCTCGTTGAGGTAGGCCTCCTTCTCCCTGTAGTTGGCCAGGGTGTTGGTCTTGGCCGTCTTGTCAGGAGGCTTGGCGAGGTGCTGCTGCAGGTCTTCCTCCAGCCTGGCGAGCCGCTCCTCGTGGTCCAGCGTCTGGTCCCGCTGCTCATCATCACATTATTATTTCGACTGTGGTAATAAAGGATGTATTATATGCGAGTTTTGTTCATATTAAGATGAAGACCGGATGTTAGCTGGCCTGGCGTCTCGCACCGTGCCAGTGTCTACGTTTCTGTCGAACTGTACGGTCTTATCTACTTCCGTGATGTAAAGTAAGTTGTCCGCCATGTACATAGCTAACTCTGATTTCGCTGTAATATTGCTTCTATTGTTCGTTATATTTGGTTGTGTGTGTTAATCATCAGTGTTTGATATCGGTTACTCTAATTTCAGGTAACTCGACATTTGTTTGAATAAAGCTTGGATTACCAAGTCTTTCTTATTCTACAACAACGACCATCACAGCTTATTGTTGCTGCGACCATCACAGCTTATTGTTGCTGCGACCATCACAGCTTATTGTTGCTGCGACCATCACAGCTATCAGCTCAGCCACACACCAGGCTCAGCTAAGCCACACACCAGGCTCAGCTCAGCCACACACCAGGTTCAGCTTGGTAGCAGAGCAGGGCAGCAGGGGGCGCTGGAATTTCTTCTGGGAGCCCACGGCGCCGGCCATCGGAGCAGCAGAGAGGCTTGCCGCCACGAAGTTGATGGCATCGATCCACGCCTGCAGCTCCTTGCTGTCACTGCACGCACACAAAACACCGTTAATTCCTGGCTGGTTATAACTATTACATTCGTGATATTAATAAGATGCCGTGAGACGAATTACTAAGCTTTCTGGACATGCCACTCAGTAACCATTTATGGGCGTTGATACCATTTATAAGTACAATACGTACCTGTTGAGCAAAGAAATTTCATGAAGTCATGGTACACTATTATTTATTTCTTCGAAACGGCAGTTTCCACTGTACCGGTGTGCAAGAAGGACGGCTCAGTCACCTGGTCTGCAAGAGAGACACCAGTCACCTGGTCTGTAGGAGGTAGACAGCGTGGTCTGCAGGAGAGACACCAGTCACCTGGTCTACAGGAGAGACACCAGTCACCTGGTCTGCAGGAGGTAGACAGCGTGGTCTGCAGGAGAGACACCAGTCACCTGGTCTACAGGAGAGACACCAGTCACCTGGTCTGCAGGAGAGACACCAGTCACCTGGTCTGTAGGAGGTAGACAGCGTGGTCTGCAGGAGAGACACCAGTCACCTGGTCTGCAGGAGAGACACCAGTCACCTGGTCTGCAGGAGGTAGACAGCGTGGTCTGCAGGAGGACACCAGTCACCTGGTCTGTAGGAGGTAGACAGCGTGGTCTGCAGGAGACACCAGTCACCTGGTCTACAGGAGAGACACCAGTCACCTGGTCTGCAGGAGGTAGACAGCGTGGTCTGCAGTGTGGAGGCGGAAGACATGCTGCTTCTTGTTGTAGTCGTGGGCGCGGGTGGCGAGGGCGTGGTGGAGGCGCACGGCCAGCGTGCCAGGCTGGGGCTGCTGGGTGCTGCCCCGCACGCCGCACTGCTCGTCCTTGTACAGATACATGGCCAGGTCCTGCACCACGCACCACCACATCTTCCACGACCGCTTCCCGAACGATGCTACCATACAAGGCACCATGTAATTATCACATAATTGACAAGTTTACATTTAATATTATAACTTTGTTCTGCACCACACGCCACCACATCTTCCATGACCGCTTCCCAAACAATGGGAAGCTTTCAGTGTAACAAAGTTCCAATACCTGGTGAGAAGAACACCAGGTATTGGAACATTTTTTATTAACGAAGCACAACAAGGCACGCAGCTCAGCCACTTTGATGATATTTGATGCTGAATGGTAATTAAATAACCGCCGTTCTAATATTGTGTGATGTGTGGTAGGTAATTAAATAAGCACAGTCTTAACATAGAGTCATGAGATACTTGAATACTTTAAACTTATTACCAGTGATCCGTCCCTCACCACACACCATCGCAGCTTCCACGAACTGCGGCACATTGCTACTTGAATTTCCTAATGATATTAATGGAATTTGATAACATAACAATTATTTGCGGGTGTTCCTTGGCTCTACCTACACACAGCAACACCCATTTTTTTCATTAAAACCAAGTATTCTAAATACTACGTAAGTTGAATGGAACCTTTATTGTAGCTACCATCAATTGAATAAATAAAATACTTAAAAAAAAACTTTTTAAAAAACCACGTTTTTCTTGTGGACTAAAAAGTAGAAAATAAATTATGGCTCGCCCCAAAAAACGTGGGTCGGGCTGTACGTTCACCATAAAATTTCCAAAAGGAGCTGAGCTTCCCTAAAAGTTTCAGAGCGCTAGCTAGCGGGAAAGTTGGTGAAATATCGATTGCAAGATTTGATCATCACAGACGGACACGAAAGCGAGCTAAGAAAAACGTGGTAATAATAAGTATGCAACTCTAAACTCGTAAGAATAACATCAACTGAACCACTCACTACTTCCTCAACTTCCAACAAGACTGCAATTCAGCGCAAAAAAATTCAAAACCAATGGACAAAGATTTGCTTCACACCAAGCGAAATTGGACCTCGTATCCCATTTTGCTCGTTTATGAATGTAATAGCTGTAAACCTCAATGTTTGTAATGTTTAAGAATTGATCAATTGCGGAGTTGCTGCTTCCCAAAACGATTTCGTTAACTAAGCTAAATAGTACAAGATTTTAATAATTTTGATTTCCTGTAAGTAAAGAATAATACTATTTTCACCCTCGAACTCCATATATGTTAATTAAATCGACCACACTTAAGACTGCTCAACTATCAGGTCAGAAACAGGAGGGAGGCTAGTCTCACTTTTCTTGCCGTTGGGATCAATGCAGCACTTGCGCATGATGTAGCCCTTCTTGTAGATGAAGCCGTCACCTGCTGAGGGCGCCAGGAAGGGGTTACTCCCCAGCAGCAAGGGCGAGGCGTCAGAACGATCCTCTGCTCCCTCCACAGCGTTTCCTTCATCATCTCTGCATCAAGCAACACAAGTTCAAAAGCCGTGTTGTCAAACGGTTACAATTTTGCAACTAAATCAGCCAATCACGGACTTCTTTTTAAGCTATGCCCACCAATCAATGATGAGATGTAATCCTACATGTAATCCGACCCCTACATGTAATTAGGCCGCTACGTGCACTTTAGCAAGTGTTGACAGTATTGCAGCAAGTTAGAGAACGCGTGAGTAATTAGTACAGGAGGCGATGTTTCTGGTCCGCGGAGGAGCTCGAGCTCAATTATCTCACAAAGAAGTGCAAGATTAATTAACTTAAATGCAAGCTCAACTAACTTAAATGCAAGCTTAAGTAACTTATACTTAAACCAAATATTACTCACCCGGCCCACTTGAGTGGCTTGTTCTTGATGGAGGTGTGGAGGTCGCGTAGGACCTGAGGCGGGAAGTCCTGCCCATCATTAAGCTCGGCGAGGTTGGTAATGAACTCAGAACAGGTCATGGCTCTCGTCATGCTCTTCTTGGCGCCGTGCAGGTCAGTGTTGAGGAGCATGAGTGCACACGTCAGAGTGTGAACCGCATCTGTAAACACAAATGCTTTATTTTGACTGCATACTATGGAATCAATCATAAATCACCCATGTTACTGTTCTGAAGGAAATGTATATAAATATTACCTTAAGGTTATGAGATAAGCACTTTTTCAAACTCTCCAAGTATGAGATAGATGGATTTTCTTAAGACAGAAGTTGGATTTACGAAAACGATGAATATGTTTAGGACAATAATTAAGAGCTTTCTGATGGAGCAAAGCATATCTTTTAACATCAACAGGGCCTAAAAATTGAGAAGTAACCATATTGTCTTAGTCCGGTTAGCAAATACCGGCAAAAAAAGATGAACTCTCAGGCAGCCTTATCAACAAGATAGTAGCCTAAAAAATAGTGTGGACGAATCTTTTACTTTAGAATTCTGGCTAGACTCACAAATAGCCTCGTCAACAAGGCACTGGTCTCTTAATTGAGTGGACGAATCTCGTACATTGAAGTCAATCTAGTCTCTCGAAAATAACTCCCTGGAAAAACTCAGAGAACACAGGTATTACGGTGAGAAGTACTGTATTGGATCTTTACAAAAAATTGTAAAGAATATGTGCCTGACCCTGCGAGTTGAAGGTGCCATCGTTGCAGTCGAGGTAGCGTCTGCTGAAGTGAACCAAGACGCGCTCTCTTTCTTGGGTCTCCCCCAGCAGGCAGAAGCGCTCCAGGAAGGCACGAAGGGCTTCGTCCAAAGTTTTCTTTTTGAAGTCGAAATGCTGCAAGTATTCTTCCGCCACTGCCTTAGAGAACTCATTGCTGCAACAAGCACAACCTAATATTACAACAGTGAACATCTAAATGCAATTAAACTTGACTTATAATAATACATTGTAGTGAATTCGTTTGCTCCAATTATCTACTGTATAAACAATTCATAGTTACACACGAGTAACGACTAACCAACTTGTGTCACTAATTCTTGTTTGAGCCAACTGATGATTTAGTGTTTAGACAGTGGCCACAGCCATCAAGCTTTGGCAACCGCCAATACCAAGGTTTTGGAGTTCAACGTTGAAAGAATTGCTGTCCGATGCACTCAGAGTCTTACGTCTAATTCCATGTAAATTTAAAGACATGGACAAATTAACCAACCCTAAAGAAAATCAGGCCATTATATACCACATACCACTACATAAATCCACCAACATGTGCAAGAGAACGCACACTCCTTCCATGATATTGATACAAATGAACTAGCATACGACGGAATTTATGATTAGCAGATTATTTAGCATGTAATGTCCAAACTTATAAGATTTTTGGAGACGGATTGTTGGCTAGATTGGCCAAAAAGCCAGTTATCTCCTCTCATAACGTTGATGATTCTCCAAATAATGAATACAGTACATTAGTACAATAGGGTACAGTAATCTTTAAATGAAGAAAGTTGGGTAAGAGACTACTATTATTGCGGTTTAAGGCACTCAATTTGTGGGTTGACTTACTTCTTGGAGAGATGACGAGAGACGTCGGTCTTCTTGAAGCCGTCGAGGAGGTAGAGGCGCTTGGCGAGTCTCACGGCTGAGGGAATGTCAACGGCTTTAGGGCTGTAGTGGAAACTATGCAGGGATTCTATGTCACTCTCATCCTCACTCAGGGGAGGCGAGGTGGTAGCGGCGGCGGAAGCAGTGGTGTTTTTACCACCACTTCCGCTACCACCGCCACCATCCTCTGGTTCAGCCATACCTCCAGAGTTAGCCTTGTGGGAACCACGACTCACTCCGCCCACACTGCGGGTGTGGCTCAGACTCGCGAGGCTCAGACTGGACTCTTCCTCGGATACGAATGAGTTGGTGAGCTCGTCCTCAGACTCCCACAGCTGTTGGTACGCTAGAGTGTCGGGGGAGAGGGTTCCTGACCCCGGGGTCTGTGGGGAGACTTGGGGATGAGAGGGAGGGGAAGATGAGAGGTGAGGGTTGGGTGTAGATGACTGTCGCGGCACGAGACGAGGGTTGGAGAGAGTGCGCTGTAGCACCAGAGAGCGGGCGGGAGAAAGGGGAGGAGTAGGATGAGGAGTATTTGTTGGTGTGAGGTCAGGGTCTGTGCCAGGTATAACACCCACACCACACGATGAGGTGAGCACACTAACAATACTAGGCGCTAAGGCGCCGTCAAGTGAGGTGGTTAGTGCACTCGTCACTCCAGCACTCGACACAATACTTCCCTCATGGCTCCGCAATCCTCTTCTGCTGCCGTTGTTGCGCTCCCCTGAAGAACTGCTCTTGTAATTCTTGATTTCGTTTGATTTTCCAAGCGTTGATGAAGAGCTGCTATGTTCAGGCCCCGCTACCTTGATGACGATGCGATGCTCGTCTTTTTTACGCCTAGCGTTGTGGTGAAGAGACGATGATGACGAAGACGAGGTATCTACATTCACAATGTGGCAATGATATGCGGCGGTGGAGGGCGGGTGCACCGAGGAAGCCGAGCGCTGTGAGGGCTTGTGGCCAGAACTATGAGGGCTGCCAGGCAAGTTCTTACAAATGGCATCGCCGTTAACAAGCGGCGAGGGGACAGAGATTGAGTGGAAGTTGGAAGGAACATATGAAGGAGTTGACTCGTCCCACTCGAGTTCGTCAGGAATGTCAGTGTCAGGACTCGTGGTCAAACTGGAGCTGTTTGAGCAGGCTTCCCCTAAGGACTCTATGCCCTGAGAAGAGCGAATCTTGTCGTAGAGGCCGCTGTATGAGTTAGCATTTCCCCCGACTATTGAGGAGTGAGAAGTGAACGAATGTACAGGTGAACATGGCGATAAGAGCAATGGACTGTCCGACTCGTGACTCGAGTGCCCCAAGGATTCACCCGAGGGCGACTGAGCAGCAGCTGACTTATTATTTGAGGGAGTCAGAGTGATGACGGCCGAGGTCACAACCGCGTCTTCGGTAACTGAAGAACAATCTTTTGATCTGATACAAGGATGCAGTTGGGCAGGGTCGAGCACCGACGTGTTGGTTGAACAAGACTGAGTGGTACACAAAATAACCGGCAACCCATTGGCACTCGTCACAGTCGAGGTCATTGTTGTGGTCGTAACAGATGGCGTGTGTGTAATTAATACCAGCGTACTAGATGACGGTGATTCTACACACACATTCGTCACTAGGTCGAGATCTACAGTGTCTGGTAATATCTTATCTTGTCTTGAAAGTTGAGGCTTGTCCCTTTCTCGGACTGGTTTATGAAACGAAATTTTTTGCGGTTGAGGAGTCTGATCTTCTCTTGTGTCAAGCAGAGTGTTGTGAGAGGCAGTAACATCATCCTCGAGATCAGTATTAGCCGAACTGACATCCCCATCGTCGGGACACTGAAGCTGGTCTTCTGACTTGGATATTCTGACAGCAGGAGGAGAGTAAGTGAAAGAACCACAGCTGCTCTGCATCACCGAAGCGGCTGGAGATTCGCAGCTTACACATATCAGACTAGAGCTATTGCTGCTGCTACTGGTGTTTGCATGGCTAGATTTAAGGGCCGCTCTTCCATGCTGTTGATTATGGATGTTTTGATGGTAGTCATTTTCACGTGAGGATCGAAAGCCAGCACCTGAAGATCTACTGCCACACTTGATGATATTACTGCCACACATTGAATCAACAACACCACCTGGGCTGTTAGGCACACTTTGGCTCTCGCCATAATACTGTGAGTGGGAACACTGAGAGTTAGTAGATTCTGGTAAGTTAATGGGGGCTTCCACACGCTGTTTTGGGACATGGTTATCCATAGATTCACCTGCTTGCCTCTCGGCGCTTGAATCAAAGCCTGGAGCAGAGCGCGACTCGTCACCTTTTTCAGGAACAGAAATGTCAAAGCATGACTGGAAGTGTTCGTCGCCTTCCTCAAAGCTGTCATCAAGAACACCATTCTTCATTCTAGGGGCAGAATGGGGTGACTTGTGCTTTTTGGAGCGATCCAGCGTTGCGCTAGGGGATTCCAGACCTGAAAAGGAGATGGGGGAGCCAGCCTTAGGAGGCAGGGGAGGAGGAACACCTGGAACCGTGTCACCAACTTTTCTCTTCGAAGGTAATTTTTTCTCAGGCTGGATTGCTTTCTGCAGGAGCACGGGGTCACTGGCTGCTGCTAGAAGCTGTTGCACATGCTCATCAGTGCTGCCATCTGTAATTAATTTTCACATGAGTACAACAATCTGAGGTTGTTTAAAGAGGCACCAGTTTGGATTCAGCTATAACCTAATGAATTAGAAGAAGCAAACACAAATATTGCAGTCACGCTACCATCTCGTAATTAATCCAAGCTAACATATTCCCTTGGTTCGTTGTGACTTCACAGTGCACCAAATGAAAATTTATTTTTTGATTCCTATGATGCAACATGGAAATAAGAAGACCAATTTACAGGCAGTCTAGAATTCAAGTGATTTTCCTATAAAATTACTAGAAAGTGAGATAAATATTAAATTGATTAATTATGTATAGAAACATGAAAAATTCTAATTAAAAATAACATTTTATTATCATGTATATAGATGTATCAACACAACCCTCTAAAGAAGTTATCATAAGGCGGGTCATGCCACACTGGTAGGAACTGAAACACAATAAGTGGGGTGCAAAAAATGACAAAAAAATGCAGTATGCTGGGGCAACAAGAGCAGGTGCACATAGGGCTTGGATATCAGCCCTAGTACAAAGTTAGAAATGACCAAACACTTCAAGAATCACTGCTTTACAGACAGCATTAATAGGAAGACTTGCCTGTTCTGAGCTTCAGGATGACTTGGTCAGGTGCTTCTCGCAGACAATTGAGCACTGCAACATGGAGGTCTTCATAAACTCATAGGCAAAATGATAAGTAGAGGCTAAATGATTCAAACATCATTTGATGCATCTTACAAGTGAATAAATAGGAAATTATACTATGCTTGCATCCTTGCATTTAAACATGGACCAGTACAGTACATAATTTTTGCTGATTATTATGAATAATTAACTGAATTGATTATAACTAAAAAAATATGTTAAGATTTTTTGCATAAACTTTTTGGATAAAATTAAAGATTCAACGCATAAAAATCTGCCTTGAGAAATTCCACTCCAGCAATCAAATGCCACTCACCTTCTTTGGTTGTGAGAGTCTCCACAGGAAGGCCATTCACTTCAAGAATAACATCCCCTGGCTGTAACTACAAGACAATAATTATAAATTAGACATGAAGAGTCAGAACCACCCAGCTGCATGCAGGTTATAATAGCCTTGGCAATAATTTGCGAATTAAATATTTTTTTTAATTTATTTTTTAATTTAATAATTTATTTTATTTTAAGTTATTTTTATTTTAATTTATTCATTTTTTTTAATTTATTTAATTTTTTTGTCTTTTGCGAATTGCAAAAGACAACCCTTAGAGTATATCCTCTTATATATACTTCATCAAACATATAATTAAATTAATCATTATCAATGTTCTATGTCTGAAGGATCCAAATTATTATAATGAACCAACTAAAATCAAATTAAATTCTGATGATGCAGCCATGATAAATCAGTAAGGAGAAATACAGAAAGCACTAAGCTTATGGGACTGCAATGGTCATATTTTATAATAATTTCAAGCATGAGTTTAAGAGCTAAGCTTGATTTCCTATGAATATTCCTCACTATGCAGCCTACCTCGGATAGAAAATTGTTTATCAAGGATTTAATTTTTCTTCAAGTTGACTCTAATTATTTTTACTACCGTACATTCATTGTAATTGATTCATCTTTCTATCTCTGCCAATTTTTTAGTATTATTTTAAATTTTGTCACAACATTTAGTAATTGTTTACAGTGATATCAAAGTTGTCAGAGGATATCATAAAAAGATCACCACATATGGTATATATGCTTGTTGTTCTGACATGAATCAAGTTCAGTTGTAGATGGTTGAGATACAAGGCTTGTAATTTATTTATGGTGAATCTATTGATAGTTATATTAGTTTTTCTTGCATCAATTGATTGCCACACACAAAGTACATACTTATTTCAAGCTGAGCAGCATTACTAAATTGCATATTTAAATTATTTTTGGTGCAGAGTGACTTTAGTGATGATTGTTTTTACTCTCTTTCAAAAAGCTGCCATTATTTGATACAACTTGGCAAGTTTCACATCATACTGACGGCAAATTACACAGTGTATATATAATATTATATATATATATATAATAATAATATATATACATGCAGCAGTAAACTTACATACCATACCTGTTACTCTAATTCTTTGTTGCCATTCCTTTCTATATATTTATTGTGTTTATAGTTCAATAGCTTAGAAACAGAAATTTGACTGAACTAAGATTTTTGCTCTTGACAAAAATATTGAGAAAAATATGGTAGCATAAACAACTTCATATTTGTCTCTACAAATTAGTAAAAATATAACTCAGTACTCACTGCAATGAGTGACAGAGAGCGCATTTTCTCGTCAACAAAAACTTGAGGTCACGAACGGACGGACAGACATGGCGAGCACAATCGTGCATTTTTTCCATAAATGAGAAAATGCGCTAAAAACTCAGAGTTATTTCAAAGATTAATTTTCCTAAAAAAATGCTTTACATATTCTTATACATAAAGTATATTTCTGTGATTGGCTTTTATAAACACTGTGAAACACACAAACTTGCACACAAACTAACCTGCTTGCATAGGTCAGCAGGAGACCCTGTCACTATTTGATGTATGATAGGAGGCAATTCAGATCCAGCTCCTCCAATGATAGAGAAGCCTAATCCTCCAGAAGGGCTTTTCTCCAGTTTCACATATCTTAAATATTTATCACCCATGACTGAAACAGAAATACAAATTATTTCACAGAAATTGACACTGTAAATTATTGCAATTACTAAATTTTACTCAGTGGTCCAAATGATGCAATTTGGGCCAGACCTCTGACTCTGAGTCTCTGACCCTTTGTGAGCATGAGGAAAGGATTTGATTTCAAGTTCAAAGTAGAGATCGGTGATGGACCAGTACTACCACTGCTGCACAGAATTTCCTAGCAGCAAATGGAAGCAGCAATTCAATAATAGGATCATGTGCTCAGTTGACAGTTGGCATTGGCTAAATTTTTTTGCAAGACCAAAAAAAGTTAAAGAAAAATGTAGGGTAAACGCGGTATATTCCGACATCGTGGGTAATTCTGTCACCTCTCTAGTGTTTCCTTTATATTAACCCATTAAAGCCTATTGGCAATTTTAGTTGCCACCTGAAAAAATGGTTGTATTATTCATAATATAAAGTAAATTTCTGTGTTATAGTTCTACACCGCATCATACATGTTCCATGCGATTACTGAAGAAGAATTGTTCACCTCGGTTGCTCACTCTTCAGTCAGTTGACCTTTCAACTACAGGCAGTCACTGTGTTTTTGATCAGGCCTGAACCGGCCCACAGAAAAGGCTATGTTAAAATTGTTTGAAGTCAATATTTTATAATTGTATGCATTGAAATGATGGATTAGGAGCCTAGTAATCAGACAAAATTCATAAATGGCATTAAACATTAACATTAAAGACAATCTAAGCTAAATCATATATAGTGGCAACTGAAGTTGCCACTCGGCATTTGTGACATGCAAACTGTATTCTTGCATGAATGCGGAGATAAAAGGCTACCTCATGTTCTACATGTATTATAACAAATAAGTTAACATCCAGTTGATAGAAAGATATTTTAATGAAGTTTGATTGTGATATTTATAACATATATCTACATATATTCATTTGCAAGTGAACTTTAACAGAAGTTTACGATATATTGGTAGACTAGGCCAAAAATGACAATGAAGTTTTATTTGTAATTTATCATCCAAGGAAAATACTCATACGGAATCATTCATGGATTCAGATGATTTTGATGATAAGGTTACCTGTAAACCTGATAATTTGCCCAGATTTATATTGATGAGTCATGTTGTCAAGATGATAATGAACAAAAGGAAAGCCACCTTCAAAGAAACAAAATGTAATTGTTTATAAATAGAGCAAAGATGACATGACTTCGTCAATGCCGCACTTTTGGAAGATCGACATGCTATCCAGTACTCTCTGACTGAGAAAAGTACCTCATTACATGCAATGAATTACTTTTGTACTAACTAATGGATAAACCATTTATGTGAACAGAGCAAATTATATGCTCAGCAACAAAATCTGCCATGTAATGAGATCAATTTTGCTAGCATGGGAGTATTTTTGCCCGTATTGCTTCTCTCTTGATAAACTAAACTGCCTCATAGAAGCCTCTACTAGTATGATTTGTTTCACCAACAATTAGCAACTTATTGGATCCAAAATTTACTCCAAAAAATTGTGGTGGTCCCTTTTCTGGGCCACCACCATAGTTAGTGCCTGAGCTGTAAATGCTTGGAGACACTTCAATACATGCAGTAACAATATTCAGTGGTTGAAATTCATCAGAGATGCTGTTATTGGAACCATAAAGACTCAGCCCAGCCAGGAAGTAAAGCGGTTCTAAATTTGCATCGTGTGGACCCTCTTAGAATATTGTCCTGATAACTACAGCAGATTACTGGATAGTGAGAGGAGAAACAAAATATGCAAAACGTCACACAGCAAAGGAAGGACTGTGTGCAAATGCAAATTATGCATTATTGCTCATCACCTACATTGCATGAAAGTTATCCATACGATGTTTATTCTTCTATGCAGCAATGATTATCGATGATGTTTACCATTATAAATGTTATTGACCCATTTTCTCATGAATTTATCAATGATTTAAATACTGAATGGATAAATCATTTATCGTTCCAAAATATTTGTTTCATTATTTCAATTTACCTATAGCAAATTTAGTTTTATTGGCCCTAGTCAATAAGATTACCATACATTGCATAGAAGTTCATATATGTTATCTTACTGCCGAATGGCAACCTTAGGTGCCAGGCCATATTTTAGCATTCATCTGCAATTTCGGTAAAATGAATGTTTTAATAGATTAACAATGACTAAATGAAGTATTCAAACTGGAAAAAATATTGAATTATCCCCCAAATAATTCTCGGCTTTAATGGGTTAAGCTTTGTTTTAGTTCCATGCGTTTGTTGATGGTTGAAATGGTGACGTCATACATTTGCGCATCAAACCTGCCAAAACACTAGGTCTTGGCCATCTAGCAGGAAAATATTGGGATCCAAGAGAGACAATGCACGCTACCCAGTGAGATCATCGAAAAATGTGTCAAATTTGACAGTTGACCTTGCTCTACCAAATAATGAATAACTGTTTGTATAGGAAGAATATTATGGTCTGAGACTTTTAAATACGCCTGTGAATATATTAGGAATCCTTTAAGTATACTTGTATTCGCTGATTTCAAGTGGTAAATAAATTAATAGATGATTAAGTTGAGAAATGGATTTAGACACATGAAAACTAATTCCGTCACAACTTGAATAGGACACACACAGATCATTCCAAGCTGTGTACAAAAATTAAAATTTGCTTAATTAAAAGCTTATTAGTTGTTAATTAAAAGCGTGATTAAGTAGTGTTCAATATTCATTAGTGTTCTAATTCAAAGCCGTGTTGTATTCCAATACAGCTCACACAGAGAACGGAATTCGAACACGTGGATGACGGCATTATGTATCAGTAGAATTCGAAGCGCGGACGGAATACGCCTCACCACGTGCCGAATATAGCCACACCCAGTGACGGAATATAGGGATTTGGTAGGTTTGCATTCTAAAGGCTTTTAAATAAATATGGCAACATTTTGTGACATTTTGTCGTTGCTGACGCATAGGGTAAACGCGGTATGTTCCGACACATTAAGGACGCATCGAGAAATGAAAAACTATAAAAAAAACTGTATGCGTTACGTAACTTCTGTTGGCTTCACGTGACTCACAAAACACCGGACTACGCGTCAGCAACGATGAAACGTCACAAAATGTTGCCATATTTATTAAAAAGCCTTTAGAATGGAAACCTACCAAATCCCTATATTCCATCACTGTGTGTGGCAATATTCAACACGTGGTGAGTCGTATTGCGTCAGCGCTTCAAATTTAACTGATACGTAATGCCGACATCTACGTGTTCGAATTCCGTTTGCTGTGTGAGCTGTATTGGGATACAACACGGCTTTGAATTAGAACAAATTCCGTTTGCTGTGTGAGCTGTATTGGGATACAACACGGCTTTGAATTAGAACACTAACGAATATTGAACACTCCTTAATTACGTTTTAATTAACAAGTATTAGGCTTTTAATTAAGCAAATTTCAATTTTTGTACAAAGCTTGGAACGATCTGTGTGTGTCCAATTCAAGTTGTGTCGAAATTAGTTTTCATGTGTCTAAATCCATTTCTCAACTTAATCATCTATTAATTTATTTACGACTTGAAATCAGCAAATACAAGTATACTTAAAGGATTCCTAATATATTCACAGACGTATTTAAAAGTCTCAAACCATAATATTCTTCCTATAAAAACAGTTATTCACTATTTGGTAGAGCAAGGTCAACTGTCAAATTTGACACTTTTTTCGGTGATCTCACTTGGTAGTGTGCATTGTCTCTCTTTGGATCTCAATATTTTCCTGCTAGATGGCCAAGACCTAGTGTTTTGGCATTAGTTCGATGCACAAATGTATGACGTCACCATTTCAACCATCAACGAACGCATGGAACTAAAACAAAGCTTAATATAAAGGAAAAACTAGAGAGGCGACGGAATTACCCACGATGTCGGAATATACCGCGTTTACCCTAGTCATGATAGTTATTATTGATAGCTAGTGCGGTGTTGGGTGTTTTGAGAGTTACATAAAGCAAACAGAACTTGAGTAATGAGTAACACATACGGTTATTTTTTATAGTTTTTCATTTCTCGATGCGTCCATAATGTGACGGAATATACTGAGTTTACCCTAACATTTTGCCTATAATTAAAAAATCATAAATCTGTTGTTTTAACAAATTAACATGGAATTTTTAAAACTTCTGCCTGATATTCCAAATTGGGTTGTAAATAATTAGACTGATAATAGACTAACAGACTAACTGATTAGAGCCCAGTGAAAATGCTTCTTTAGCTAGGTACATATGTAATTTCTCCATCTTTAGTAATAATCTTATTTTATTATTAATCTAGATATAGTTTATAGTATACCCTCACGGCCACTCAGGTCAGGTCTTTACATTCTAATCTAGACATCTAGTCACTAGTGAGTAGTGACTACTGAGGCTACTGACCTCTAGTGACAGTGACTGAGTAGTGAGAACTGTGAGTTCACTGAGTTGACATTTTCACCTGGCGCAAATTCATCATTCAACCCGCCTATGTCTTCCCAAGTTCCCAGAATTATTTCCCAGCTTCAGTCAGTCTTCCCCTCTCAATCACAGTCTCACAGACACTCCTTCTACGTTCTACATTCTGGATTCAGCCCATCCATTCTCAGCTCCGAGTTCCGACTGTGTCCGACTCCGACAGACCACGGAACACCAGACTGACCAGAGTAACCTACTAGGCCTTCCAATTCAACGGGCATCTAAAAGCTGGACAGCGGTGAAAAACGGATTTTTGGATATTGCAAAAAACAATTCAACTGCAATTTCTTGCACCGAGCGAGAAATTGGCACTAAGAATTAGAATTGAGAGCTTCATCTTCCTGTGAATCAATTTTCAATTTATCAATTGATTGTTCAATTTCGTCAGCAATCATCTGATTCATCCATAATTTACCGTTATTGTGATCATATAATATCACACTTGTTTAAGGGAAAATGTCAAAGTCGTCAACATCAAGGTTTTCTGAAGCCTAATTAATCAAGAGCATTGCAATAAGTTACAGAGTTTATTTTTTTAAGGAAATGTCTAATAGGTGGGAAGTAATTTGTTGTTTGCTGAACGATGTTTTGTAAACAATTACTTCAAATGTAAAGAAAACGACATTATGTTAGAGAATTACAAAAAATTCTCTTATATACAAAAAATGTAATAAATGAATATTTATCGAGTAAAATCAGCATCGCGTGCCTCGATCATTTGATTTATATCCCGACGACAAGTTGACAACACAAGTAACATTTTAATTGTTACCAGCTTACCCGGTAGTCAAGGTTGGCAAACATTTCCGTATTTTGTTTTTCTAACAGGCTTAAAAAGTTTGAAGTGCTCATGAAATATCTTCGTAACTGTTGTAAATATTTTTTATAAAACGTTGCCTACAAACTCCTGACACCTTCAACTTATGTCGATTTAACTGCTTAAAAAATAAATTATTTATAACTTTTTACTTCAAATTAAAAATTACCAAAAAAACCTAGAAATTCATTCGCTTTAAAACGATAAAAGGTCTGTTTAAATTTCAACGCCAGTCAGTGCGCGAAAGCGTGAGCGAGATTAGATGGTGTTCGAGATCACTGATATTTTGCCCGCTAGTTAATTTTCCAATGTAAATAAATCCTTGCCAAGGCAATGCCTGACCCTACATCTGCGATTACATCAGTTGCAATATCTAAAATGATAACTTAGGTGCTGTGTCGAATAAATAAAAATTTCCTTGTTCCTGAGTCTCATTTATTGCGATGATTGATAATAATACTTTTTCGTTGTTATAATCAGGAATAAAATGATAGTTCGCGACGGTCACTTTAAAATAAGATTAATGAGCGAAACCTTTATAGATTAAGGCCTTGATTGACGTTCTGGAACTGTGGAACTACGTCATGCAGATCAATGTGACTTAAATTAATGAAAATGAATTAAAATTTTGTTAATAAAATGAGAAGTTTCATTATGATAGTTACATTAAGAATGCGAAGGTGAAGTTACATTACATTATTAATATTAAGAACACTAGGATCTATTCCAGCTTATCCATATGTATAAATTGTTTAGTTAAACGCTGTATTCTCATACTCGGAGGTGATCTTATAAGGATACGATGATGCATGGTCGAGCTTTTGCGTGGATTATCCATACAATTCATGGATAAATATTGAACCGTGGATCAACGGCGTGATGGTCCTCAGTAGGTATATTGCTCCATTACTTGTCATGCTCATTTTATTACGACTGCGAATTAAAAACGTCAGGGCGAAATTTGTTAAATTAACTGTTATAATATTAATTTTTTACATTCTCTTAGTCGCTAATCTCTTTAAGGCAGTCAGAAACGGAAAGATCGAGTTTACGATCAACCCCAATCTGTAATTGTCGTTCACCAACAGGGAAAAAATTAAACAGTAAAATAATAATATAAATTTTTACGGTATTTTTGACAAAGAAACCTCCAAGCCTTCTCTTGTGTGAAGGCTGTTAGTTATCAGAGAAGAGACTATGATTTTCGTAAGGGAAAATTGTTCAGTTTCGAAAGATAGACTCTGCTTCTCAGTGGAAATTGCATTTTTCTATGTTCACATGGAAGACTTGGTGCTTTAGCAGAGGAGAGACCCGAGTGTGCAGATGATCCAAGTCCCCAGTACCGACATGCCGACTACCCCCTGCCGGGAGGCCGCACTCGGGGTCGAACCTAGATGAACAACTGCACGGGATAAACGGGGTTTACTCGAGCACCAAATAAACATATGATGATGGGGCTCATACAGACAGTAATTAATTTCAAGGGAAAAAATCTGTATAGCTTGGTATAGTATAGTATAATATAGTATAGCATAGTAGAGCAACATGGGGCAGCGCACCCCCTCCCCCCTTTTTTAAACTAAATTTTTGATGAAGTTTTAATTGATACGAGTGGTTCTTTGTTTTGTTTAAAGGTACAACTAATGAGGAATGCATGATGTGAATTACACGCCTATAGAGTTATTCAATTTTTAATGAAACATTATTTGTAAAAAGTGTCAAATGGACCAATTGCCCCACCCCTGGGGCAATGGGCCCATGGACTTGGGGCAATGCGCCCACCCTTGGTCCCTTTACCACAATTGCATATTTTTCGTTTAAAAATGATAAAACAACACTTTACAGTTAAAATAAGAAAAATTTCATAAAAAAATATGACATTCATTCATTTATTAACAACTCAAAAAATCATATCCTTAACTTCAAAAAATATACTCTTGGCTTAAAAAATCTATCACTGACGTGTAGAAAAATATTGCATTGACATAAAAATATATATCCTTGGCTTGAAAAATATATCCTTGCGATAAAAAGTTCGACCTTGACATGAAAAAATGTATCCTTGACTAGAAAAATATACTGTATTTAGTTGATCAGAAAAAAAACTTCGTTCCAGTTTCGTCCATAATCCAGATATTATGTGCAGGGAATTCGTACCTAATCGTGATTTCAGCCAACACCATAAAAACTCATAAACTTTTGGCTCATTGGTGTTGACTGAAATCAATTTTTGGCAAGGCAAGAATCAATAACTCGATAAGGGGTCATATAAAATGTATAAAAAAAATTTTTAAAGACCACGTTTTTCATGTGGACTCAAAAGTAGAAAATAATTTTTCGGCAGCTACTGATCTCTGTTTGCTATGAAGTGTAATTTGTAATTCAAAAAGCTAGTCATAGTTTAAAAAGGTCATTGAGACAAATCTAATGATGTATAACACAAGACTTCACCATGGGCGCTTTGCCCCGTGACACGCGTGGGCCCGTTGCCCCACTAGGTATCATTTCAATTTATATCGTGTCAACATTTTATTTTAAAAGCTAATAGTCTAAACTTGATCTCAAAATTATCCCTTTAAATATTACTTTTAAAATATATTTCACTGTAATTTCAAAAGCTTCATCTACAGTAATCGAAAACAGTTTTATATAGCAGCAAAAAAGTTATCTGGACTAAAATAGTTGTTCACAAATAACGTAATAACGCAAACACTTAGCAAAACGTAAATCCGTACACTTCATCCTAGTGAAACTATCGATCGGCGGTAGAGAACACGGACCAATATCTGCCATACTTAGCGAGAAACCCGCTATGGGCCCATGACCCGCAGTGGCATGGTATATGGGGCAGGGCTTAATATGCTAAGGGGCAGGCCTTAATATGCTAAGGCCCTCCAGGTAGCTGTCCCGCAAGAGCCGGACGGTTTCCCGGAAGAGCCGGATATCCGGGAGATCCGGCTTCAGCAGCCGGGAGATCCTGCAATACCGGCTGTCAACGTATTCCCGGTACTCCCGGGAGCCTGCCGGAAGTCCCGTATGCCTCCCGGATTTCCAGGTAGATCGCCGGAATTCCCGGAAAAAAACGGTAAAACAGCAGGTACAGCCGTTTGAGCAGTAAGAACTGCAGTAAAAACAGGGTAGGCCGGGCTTTTTTCACGGTATTCCAGGTAAGTTATGCAAATTTAGGCCCGCCCCTTCCCCTGTTTCCTATAAAAAATCCAGGTGTGTGGATGGTTTCATCATTTCAAGCAGCACAACAGATCGGGCAACATCATGGCAAGCCAGACACAGAGGATAACCATATTGACAGAGGCTGTCAACATAATGGGAGAGTATGTACACATGGCCAAGGCTTTACAAGACAACAGAATTGCTATAGAATTGATAAGTGAATTTTGATAAATAATATTGTGGATTTCCAGAGTTTCCGGATTTTTTTTTTTTTGGTCAATTTCACCCCTCCCGGTACCCCAGGCTGGTCCCCCGGCCGTGCCGGTTGAGTTCTCACATAGCAACGGAAGAGCAGGTTGGGTCCCGGATTTTTATGGTTCCTGGCGTACCGGCAAAATTAGTCAACATGTTGAATAATTTTCCGACCAAACCGGATTATGGCCACGCCCTCCAGGAATTCTAGGAACTCCCGGATCTCCAGTTTGATAACCGGTACCCCAGGAATCGATTCCGGGTGTCTTCCGGCCCTTTAACCGGCAATGTGAGAACGAAGCGTTAAACCGCAGCTGCCACGTATCAGCCCAGTCAACTAAACTATCAAGATCATCCTGCAGTTGCGCTTTATTTGACGCATCCTTCACTGTATTATAAACTTTGAGCACACGCTAGACACTACTTCTGGTAGATCGTTTATATAAGCAACCAATAAAGCAGGCCAAATAACACTTCCTTGAGACACGCCACTGCGCACTGATGCCCAGTCTGACACGGTTCCGTTAATACTGACACGTTGTCGCCTACCTACTAGAAAATCTCTGATCCATTGGAGTACGTTTCCCTCTATTCCCAAAGAGTTCTCTTTACGCAACAGCCCCTCAAGCGGAACGCTGTCAAATGTCTTGGCAAGTGTAACAAGTGTAACGGAATTCATCGAAAAATTAGTCCACAACGAAGGACGCAACATGCAAACAGAATATAATCACCCGTAATTTTACATTGATATCAAAGCAGTCAAACCATGACAGATCAAATCTCAAGAAAATGCCACACCGTACCTGCTCGGAGAGCCGGAGAGTCCGCCTGACTGACCTCTTCCTCAACCTCTGCTTGTCGGCCACAGAGTCAAGACAGGAAGTTAGGTTCAAGAATCAATCATGCAAAAGAAACGAATACAACTTAAAACATTCAAGTTAGATGAGAAATAAATCGAATTTAGAGAGATAGTATAGAATGGAATTTAAACAACGATATCGAAGCAGTACGTAGTTGGCCTCGGTAATAAATACGCTTTTCTATTCTTGGTCATTGCTGTTGATACAAATAAACGTCTAGACAAACGTGCTTTAGAACATGAAGCGATAAGAGAGAGTCTTACCAGAATGTAGATCTATACTTTGAATTCTTAAATATTGCAATGGAAGATGTATTGCGTGTAAATAATTTTTAAACCTTCATAGGTTTAGAGAGAACGTCAATAGTACAAAATAATGTGATTAAATACGATAATGTCAAAAACGGTTATTTTACCTTTTTTTAATTAATTTTAAAGCAAAAAATTAAATTTCAAAATGAAAAAAAGGTCGCAATAAGCATGCAATTGAAAAATTATATTATTTATTGGAAAATAGTTTGAGATATACCATATGCATGATACGTAGAGGATGTTATAAACATTGACGTTGAACATCACTACAAGATTTATGACAATTATATAGAAAAAGAAATAGAGTTCAGTTATGTCACTATAATTAGAACTACAGTTGTTGGCAACTAAACTATGATGCTCAGCAACACGGAAAATACGACATCTGGATCGTTTACTCATTAGGAAGTACGTGGAAGTTGTCTGGTTCTCCACAGGAACAATAATTTCGTTCACCATTCCGCGAAAACCGTTCCTCCGTTTACCATAACCGAAGTTGATTTTTTATGGTGCTTGCATTGTCATTCGATTACGAGTCGCAATCAAATTAATGTTTTCATAACCCTTATGGCTTTGTCTAGAGATAACTACATTTTTTATTTAGTTGTAATAGTCAGGAACTAAACCATAATAATTTTAGCGCTTTAAAGCTACGTTTACAATTTATTAATTACCTGGTCTGAGGTCGATGGACTCTTGCATGGAGACGTTGGTGTGTGGGAAGTGGAGCTCACAAATGAGGCTGGCGTCCCCATACAGCTCCAGGTGTTGGAGCGGCAGCTCCACACGCAGCGACGTGTTGTACACGCCATCCTCATACACGGTCTCGCGATCAGCGATTGTCTTCAGTGGCTCTCTGAAATCAAAGTGTAAATTTGGTATGTGGATTGTGAAATACGAAATCCTAGAAATATTTGTAAGAGAATTTATCCTAAAGCCCCGAAATCAAAAGTGATGAGTTATGAAAACGTTCTCGGATATGCGAACGCTGTAATAGAGATCTTGGTTTAAATTCAGACAATATATAAGCAAACTTGTTGTTAGTACATTATAATATCTGAAATAAACTAGCCTATATCGTTATCCTACTGTGAGTGCGTTAACACTAATTAATCATTATTTAGTTGCGTTTTGAAAATCAGAGAGTGCCAGAAGTGCTAGTTTACGCTGTCACTATGTAACAAAAATTGTTTTTGAATGTGCATTCCATTTTTATTACTTGATTGACAGCGCGCTGGCAATTTTTTTTGGAAAAAGCATCGAAATTAAAACAAAATATGGAGTTAGTGTCAAATTATGGATTTTTTTCAAAATTAGGCTTGCATAATTAAAACAAACCTCTGTTGGAATTAATTGAATACCTTTAAGCAAAGCAATGAAAAAATATTTATTCTGCAAACAATTGACATCTGCAGAGCCCACCTCACATCGTCCACTTGCACGTAGAGCTGCAGGCGAGGCTCCGGGTACGCGGGTTCTGCGCTGCATGACACTGTGATGTTGCCTGATGTCGTCTCCTCGACGGAAAATTCCAATTTCAATGGCAACACTGAAAACAAAATGGTGGAGTAGAAATAAAATGATTCAAACTCGTATGAATTAACATATTAAGTGTGGTACCACCCACCGTTGGGTGGTACCACAGATATGAAATACGTCCTGAATACACATAGCCGCACTTAACTTGTTAAAATGACTCACGCGCCAGCATCAAGCGGTTTGAGTTCAAATTCGCTACTCCCACTACATAGATTGCTGAAAACCGAAGGTATTCTACCTTCAACTATAGTGAGCTTCATAGCTTAAGCAGTTCCCTTATAAATTTTCTGAAAGGTGTTCCAATTTCAATTCTAACATGATTGCATAGAATGATAAGTGTCGTATTTTATGATTAATTATAGAATCACTCGCAACGGTTTCGTAACTTCTCACACTTTCTTTAGTTACGGCTTTGAATAACCAAACCCGTCCGCGCCTATCCCGTCAATTCCGGTATCCAACCCCCCGGTATCCAGGGCCCCCGGCAAGCATTCTATTGCTGTCAGTCTCTCGTGGCAGTACGTACGCATTGGACCTGTATTGTTTCACTCTGATCGGCAACCTTCGTTCTTCCCTTCGCGTCAAGATGATTTTACCAATGTAATTTCTATTCATCAGGTTTCAATCATCTCTTTGAATAATTAGAGAATTACGTAGCGATCGATGGCTGGCGGGGCTGTCATTCGGGCAGCGAATAGGCCACGGCGGACTATGCTAGCTTTACTCATGTCTGGGCGACCTCATAGAGAGAGCTTCGGGAGCACTAGTACAGCCACGTCGATGGGACGGAGGAACCTCCATCGTACTAAACCTCTGTTCTGTATTTATGGAGGTAAACTACGGAAACTAACGTGCATTGTTCGTAAAAGTTTATTCATGGTGACTTGACCCACCTTTAGAGAGAAGAACAATCACTCGTGCACAAGTAAATGTAAATTGGAAGTTTTATCTCTTGTCTATTTGATGATATGCGTTCGTCTAGACTTAAGCAACAATCCAGCGTATCAATCTGCTATTCTTACATCTGCAGCTAGGGTGTCATGATTATTAGCCTTAAGTCAAATCTCTATTTGACTTGTATCTCAAACTAGTATTTATTCATCTTTGCAGTTTGGACTTTGATTTTCGTGGATTCGCGAGCGGGTCCCTAATCGCCCAAGTTTCATACAAAGATTGGCATGAAAACCAAAAAATTCGAACGTGAAGTTATATTGGCCTTATTGGCCGTACCAATATAATCTTTGATAAAAACTTTACAATAACCTGGCATCGTACCTTTCAGCACTATGTAAGATTTATTGCGTGTATACTTACCATAGGGCTTATATTCATAACCTACGTCTATGACCAATTCCCTTGACACAAACACGTCACATCCACCGTATACTACGACTATGACCAATTCCCTTGACACAAACACGTCACGCTCACCGTAAACCATGAGTGGAACGACGTGCGTCTTCTCGTCGTAGTGGCTGGAGACGACGCAGGTGTAGTCGCCTGATGAGGCGGGGGTTGGGGCGAGCAGACGGAGGGCGCGGTGACGGTGTCGAGGGTCTTCGTGGTGCTTGTAGGAGGTGTCCACCGTACCCGGGGGCAGCCCCGACACCTGCAGGGGTTTGTGTGCATTAAAGTAGCAGGTTTCTTTCTATTTAAATGGTTATTTATCAAAATGAGCTTAGTTACACTGAAAAGTTAAATGTTTTTCGATGCTTGTTGGTTCATTCAGATTATTTTCACGAGGATTATTTCAGTGAATATCTTTAGCAGAAGGAAATCGTTAATCAACATAATTATGAAACTCGGAGTTCCATGTGACTTTCTTTGCCCTAAATTTTACTCAGAACTCATCAATTTAGTAGCAATGTTTAAAAAATCATGCATGAGACTGAGATAACTTTTTTAGATTCATGGGAAGTAAGTAGAACTCAAAATACGGGTGCAAAAATGCCCATATTTCACTTGAAATCATAATAAAAAGTGCTATAATAGCCTCAGTTAATCAAAACCAATGCACACTTAATTAATTTAATCGTTCCGCAAGTGAAAGTCCCGCAGCAATATTTTAATGTTCATAGGAAACGCTTTACGGGAATTGCGCCATACCCTCAAGTAATAAAACCGCAATGCTATTCGTACAGTTGGTGCATGACAAATCTATAAACGTCCAAGGTTGCCATGACAGTTCAATACATTTGTTTGAAACTAAATAGGATGATATCACAATAAGCTAAAAACTAGATCTTAAAATAATAAAAAGTCAGTTTTCCTCTATGTTCTAGACCTGTGTTGGAAAAAGAGTCCCTGTGTTGGAAAAGAGTGTGTTGGAAAAAGCTAGTTTAGCACTCAATTTCTACTTAAAGATACTGGAACTTCCACTACGAATTTCTTAGTCTTGTAAGCACCTGCGGCTCGTCTATATCGCCGTCAAGTATCCAGGTGTAGATTGGCTGGTCGGAGTGGTTGAAGAACCACTTGAGTACCAAGCCGTTGAGGTCGTCGGGGCCCAAAGAGTACGGACAGTCAAGCACTACGGCCGAGACCGTGCCGTTCTCGACGGCCACCACCTGGCCGGTCGCTTCCATCATTATTGCTGTTACCCCTGAAATGGGTCCGTTAGAAGGACGAATTCTTGCCTACAATGAAAAGGCCTGTCCAAGTAGGTACAGGTTTTTTATAAGGAAATTGTTTTTTAGTTGAAATCAGCAATTCAACCACGAAGAAAAATTGTTTATAATAACGCCATTGGTCTATTTTGATTACACTTCCCTAGCTGGTGAGGGTGCAATTGCGTAATATTTTTCTAGAGTTTACAAGAAAAAAAATTAATCATTCCAAGTAAATGGTATCCAGGTTTGGACGGTTACTTCTTTAATTACATGTTTCCAATGAAAAACGTAGCGAAAACTAATAATCACAAATGTGCTACTTTTACCAAATTTTTTACTACAAGAATGAAATTTCATAACAAGTAAAGTGTATTATTTTTGCAAAGAAGTGTGATTGTTTTATTGGAAAATTTTATCGCTGAATTGAAAAGTTGAGTCTGTTTTTATGTTAATATATCCGGCTGAAGAGCGTTAATTGACTCTCAGAGATTCTGTCACACGGCAAACTCAACAAAACTACAACGGCGTTGACTCCATTTAAAGAAGAAAGAGGTGTTTCATAATTGAATAGTGTCCTACATGGTGATTCACAGAAACTTCCCGATTTTAAAGCTCAATAAAGATAGAACTATTAAAGATATCATTACAATATAAAATTTATTGAAAAATACATTACCTGAATTTTTATCATATAGTTTTAAAGATGACATTAGACAAATGACAGCACCGATTGTCAATACATTCAGTTAGTCGATTTTCGAAGTTCCGTTCAACTCTCTGAAGCATTTTGATGGGTATGTTGGCGATGGCTAGGGGTATGTTGTTCTTCAAATAAGGTATGGTCTTTGGACGGTGATTGTAATCAATTTATTCAAGATAACCCCATTGAAAAAAATCATACGGAGCCAAATCGGGGGATCGTGCCGGCCAAAGAAGGTCACCTCTCAAGGAGATGAGGCGCTAAGCAAAATGTTGTCTCTGAAGATCCATTGAACATCGCGCTGTATTCTTTTCCTGCATCATCTGCCTGATGGACGCGAAAGACAAAACAGGAATTTTCCGTGAATCACTCTGTACATCCCGCATTTAGCTCGTATCTATTCGGTACTTTTGTTTTAATATTTTATTAGTATATACAGCGTTCTCTCAATGTAGAAATATTTATTAATAATTTTTGTTTGGCTGATGACGGAGCTGGTCTCTGAAATATTTACGATAAAGATATAGTGAAATAACTTGGGGTTTTCGTTGCTTTGAAAGAGTGAAGTATTGACATGGGGCATAGTCGCACGATCGATGGCGCCATTAGCAGTCGTGTGCGAATGTAAACCACCGCGTGTGGGCGTCGACCATCCGCCGGCTACTCACGACCAGGATTGACATTACATAAGCTCCGGACTAATTAGATGTTATATATGTCATCAAATGAAAAAAATTATAGCCAGAAACTTTACTTCTAGGTTTACTAAAAGAAATGGTCTGAACATGAACGTCATCTGAACCAATTTCGGAAGAAACTGCTCTGTGTGACGAATTTCCGAATCATGTTAATACCTGCTGCTCCTTCAGAGCTACTAGTATAGATTCTAAAAAGGCATTTTCTTCAGCTGTTTCACAGTTACCCGTAGTAGCGCAAGTATTCACATCAGTGAAGGTTTCAAGGTTATCCTTAACTCAAAAACAAATCCCTGAAATACTTGCTTTAAGATTTCAATAATCAGCTTGGGATAAATGGCTTAATCAAACTTACCAGAGGTGGCGAACGCCATGAAGACCAGCAGGCAGGTAATCATTCTATCGGTGCCCTGACACTATTTGTCGTTTGATTCTCGGTTCGTCTATTCTGGACACAAATATTGTAAATCAGTTAAATTCTGCAAGTAAATAAATCAGTGAAGTATTTTACGTTGAAATTGAAAATGTAAGATAAATAAATTTGAAATTTTGAAATTTGAAAATTGAAATTTAGAGTTGAAATCGGAAATATTGAAGGTGAGTTGTCATCAACAAAGCGAAAATGTGTATTCGAGTCTTGGGTATCGCACGTCAAGAAATCAAATACTAGCTAGTACAATGCGACTGAATTTTTTTTTCATTCATCATAATTAACGGACTAAATGAGGAAGAACAATGTATTGTATCTTAGCGTGAAATCCGTCAAGAAGACTAAAGTGCAACTGAGAACGGACGCTATTTTCAGCCACCACATCACCCGCGCGCGACTCGCCGCACCCCACACACGACGCTAACACTAGCCCAGGTCATGCCGAACTTTGAGAGAAATTTTGCTCGCTTTGCGTTACGTAAAACCAGGTTAATTAGCATCTTGCAGCTCATCATTTTTGACCGCTTGTTGCCATGTGTGTTGTAGCAGGTAAGATCTTCATCATAAAACACTTGTATGCCTCCACACCCCCTGGCTATAAATAACCTCTCACTGCACCCTAGCTGTTGCGTGCAGTTGTTGCAATATTCCTGCACACACAAACCTTATTTTCCGTGTCAACAATCGCTCTCTTAAGGAAGTGATTCGTGCTAACTTCGTTCGGTGGTATAAAATATTTTTGTGTTTAGCAAGCTACCATTTTAGTAAATTTTATTTTAAATTAAGTTATCAACATAATAACTTTCATTTTACCTCGGAAGAAGGAAGAAGAAAATCAACTACCCCCTCCTCTAATAATGGTGGCATACACTATGATTGATGGCTATTATTATTAATGACTCATTTGGTTCATTAATACAAAAAATAAACAAACAATTAATATAAATGAACGTGCAAAAAACGTTCATATGAATAATTTTAATTTAATTTTATATTGATAATAATTTTAATAATTTCATATGAGGCGAACTAGCGCTGGTCCAGGACTGATAAACGGTTAACTGCATACTGATGCACGGTAAAATATCTACTGATGCACCATCAAGTGCTAATTTATACACCGTCAAATATCTGCTGATGCACCATCAAGTGCTAATTTATACACCGTCAAATATCAGCTGATGCACCATCAAGTGCTAATTTATACACCGTCAAATATCTGCTGATGCACCATCAACTATCAAGCGATGCACTTCTTCCCGGTGCACCGTCAACTGTTTACCGATAAGTCAACTGCCTGCTGAAGCACCTGTAGCTGCTGGCGATGTACTGTCAACAGTCTAACGATGCAAAATTGAATCTTCCAATGCACGTACTGTAAACTGCCTGTCAGCGTCCCGTCAACTTTCTACCGATGCAAGTGTGTCGATGTATCGTCAGCTACCAGCCTTTGCTGCATCACCTACCTACCGATGCACCATCAGGTAGCTACCATTGCACCGTCAGTTGCCAACTGCAAGACAGATGCACGCTGCACCCCGCCCAGCAGGCCGATTTTGGCACTAGACAAGTCTCTATGCCACCTGAGTCATGGCGCTCAACTTTCCGCTCAATCTTGTCATCTCGGTCATTAATATAAGTCAAACTGACGCTTACAGTCACGAAAATAAACGATTAGTGTTATCTGCAAATTTACTTATTCTTCAACGCCGGTATTGCTATGCAATGCTATGCTAAAGTTGGAGACACAAAAGCAGCCGAAGAAAGTAATTTAAATAGTACGAGTAAACTCCGTGGATTATATGCATCAACCCCAGTCCTCGCTTTGTTCGTTTAGCTGTCATTAGCACGGCTGGAATGAACACAAGAAATCCGTCTGAAATGAACTTACTTTACTTCTAGTACATACATTATTTTGATTCCTTTCCTTCCCCGTAAGGTAACACGAAAGTAATATTTTTCATTGTTCTCATGTCTATACGAGTATATGCATTTGAAGGAACTGGGCTTGTGTAGCACGGCTGTTCCTCAGCTGCTCTTTAACACCGCTTTAGTTAGTACGTTTTTAATTTAGTCACCTAGTAAAGTATATTCACTGGAAAACACGCATTTATTAGTTTGATATGAATGTAGCCAAAATTTAGCTCCTAATAATTGAATTTTTCTAATTAAGCATGTCCAATCAAGCTTGACCTGCTTCTCAATCTCTAGTAAATTATGCGAACAAGATTTAAAATGACGTAAATGAAAAAAATTGCCTTTATAATGATAAGACTTGATCGTAAACAGCGCTGTATGAGCAAACTTGCCTCTTTCGATACATCCCGCGCGGGGCATCGGACTGGACTAAAGAACCTCATGACGCAGTCAAATATTCAATTTCAACAAGCAAATTTCATCACAATCAGAAGAAAAAGTTCATTGTGACTAAAAAATGTGCAAAATTCAACCATTTATGCCACCTAAAACAAGGATTCGTAATATGCAATTCATTCCTGACTATTTAACTATTGACTCAGGAAATCTATGGTACAGGGTCCGCCATATTTATGGCAACGGATGTTTGCTATAAAAAATAAATTGGTTTCTAGGAGACTTTTCTTTTATAATGAAGCTTAATATAATCTATTAATTCACCTATTTTATATTGCAGAAGTCTAAGGTGTCGAAATTTATTATTACTTATGGCAGTAGATAGAAATGCAATTGTAACCCTTCATGAAAAGGGCGAGAGTAATTCAGTCATTGCAAAAAAGCTCCAAATTCGTCGTGAAACTGTGTGGAAGGTGGTAAAAAATTTAAGGAAACTGGTGAAACATGCAATCGACTTGGTCATGGAAGGAAACGAAGTGACCGAACAAAACAATTGGTCAAAAACATGAGGGAGAAGTTGAGGAGACACCCTCGTCGCTCAGCGCAAAATTGGCTGCAGGAGCAGGAGTCAGCCAAACATCAACGCGTAGAGTCCTCAAATATGACCTCAAAACCTCCCCTTACAAGATGCAAACAAGGCATGAACTAACAGGCCGTCATGAACGAATGAGGCTCGCAAGATGCCAGCACATTCTGGATCTCATTGAGGATGGCACGCTGCCCAACTTGGTGTTCAGTGATGAGATAAAATTTGACATTGTACAAAGCGTTAACCGTCAAAATGACAGAGTTTGGAGTCTGGATGGATCTGTGGCAACCAGAACAGCAACACGACGTCAAAATCCTATGTCCGTGATGGTTTGGACCGCGGTAACCGCCACTGGGAGTTCCCCACTCGTTTTTGTCCCCTCAGGAGTGAAATTGAACAGTCAGCGATACATTTCGGACATTTCGGAAGCTGTGTGTGTTGTGGCCGGCTTGAAGGTGAAGAAGTTGGAAGCTGTGTTGTTACCTTGGGCCCGTAAACACTTCAACGGCTCACCATGGAGTTTTCAACAAGACTCTACCCCATCACATGGCTCAAACATAACCCAAAACTGGATTCAGGGTCACATCCCAGCGTTCATTAGCAAAAATGTATGGCCCTCAAGAAGCCCTGATTTGAATCCTCTCGACTTTTCTGTGTGGGCTATTTTAGAGAGTAGGATAATAGATAAATGTTAAACACAAATGTGTATTTCACAAATAGAACCCCATTTAGTGAACCAATATGTTTTTAAGCTATTTTAACTGTTTCAGCACTAGAAACCTAGAACGTCTCGGGCAAATTTACGGCCGGACTCGTGGCCAGTCGCACGACCAATCTCCATATTCAATTATCGAGTAATATCTCCAAAACTAATGAACGCAGCATAAGGAAACTTGGAACATATATTCATCAGAACCTAACGTTGATTTTGAACTCGTAAAAAATTTTAAATTTCGCCTTCATTCGTGAGTTATATTGCGATAAAGGCCGAAATTCGCAGTGATCAAAGAATTTCTTCTAACCTACTGAACAGATTTGAACGAAATTTCGAATTTTATTCGAGATCAAGGATGATCTCGAATTCAAGGATGATCTCAAGGATGATTCCTAACTACTAAGCGTTGATTTTTTAGCTTTTAAATTATTTTACCTTCGTTTGCGAGTTTTTTTTTCATTTCACCGTCATTCATGATTTCACACTTCCTTATATTCGGTCCGTATCGCCGGATAATTTGTCCTTAAATTCGCGGCGATCAAGAAATATCTTATAAACTGCAGAACAGATTTCAACGAAACTTTGTATATAAATACCTAACCTCTCAACGGTGATGTTTAGCTCGTGGCGAGCTATTAATTTTTTTATTTTGCTTTCGTTCGCGAGTTATACAGATGTAGGAGGAACGACCGGCTTTTCTACCGGCCGGTTTAACCGAGAGCCGTTTACGTATAGTTGTATAACTCGCAAACGAAGGCAAGACGAAAAAAATTGTATCGAGCTAAACATCACCGTTGCTGAGGTTAGGTATTTAAATACCAAATTTCGTTCAAATCCATTCAGTAGTTTTGGAAGGAATTTCTTGATTACCGCGAATTTAAGCACGTATTGCTGTTTAAATCACGAATGAAACTCGCGAACGAAGGCACAATCGAAAAAAAATTTCTGGAGCTAAACATCACCGTTCGGTAGTTAGGACTGTAAATTCAAAATTTCGTTCGAATCTGTTCAGTAGTTTGGAAAGAATTCCTTGATCAATGTGAATTTCGGCCCGTATCGCCATATAACTATGGCAAAAACAATTGAAGGCAAAATTCAAAAAATTTTCACGAGCTTTAAATTACCGTAAGGTCCTAATGAATGCGTGTACCGAGTTTCATCGAGTTAAGTTCATTAGTTTGAGAGATATTCCTTGATCACTGAATTTGGAAATTGGCCGTGAGACCGGCCGCGAGTCCGGCCGTTAATTGGTCGGAGACCTAAACCCAGGAGAGGTTAAAAAAATATAACTCAGTACTCACTGCAGTGAGTGACAGAGAGCGCATTTTCTCGTCGACGAAAACGTGAAGTCACGGACGGACAGACAGGCGGACAGACGAACGGACATCGCGAGCACAATAGTGCATTTTTTCCATAAATGAGCAAATGCGCTAAAAACAGATCTGGGTGAAAAAACCATCGCTGGGAGTCATGTGCTGCACGTGTTGTGTACAAATCGTCAAACAAACGTTCGAACTCTTGACTTCGACTTCGGACTGCCGCCCCCTATATCGCCCCCCTATCACCCTCTTCTTCTTTACCGCCCCCCAAAATCGTTCCATCGCCCCTAGGGGGGCGATATCGCCCACTTTGGGAACCACTGGTCTAAATTAACACGAGAATGGGACTTGAAGCTTTCCTGCGTAGATTGGAGGCCATCATTAAAAAAGGGTGGTCATATAGAATAAATATGTCTAAGAATTGTTTAGGTAATTCTTGGCTACTAGCTCATCCAATAAAAACAATACACTTGTTTGTTTTATTGAGAAATAACAAAAAAACATGCGTTGCCATATATATGGCGGACCCTGTAGAAAAACCTTCCTTGCGTTTTTTCGACACCTACACTTCATTTTAGATAGACCAGTAGCTTTTTCAAACGAATGTCAGTTTGAAAAGATCTGGTGTAAGGGACAGTTCAGAGATCTCCTGTGAACAAGTGACAGAATGTACAAGAATGAGTGGCAGGCAACACCAGGCCAATTCTAAAGCGCCGACAAAGCTGTTGTTAAAAGATCCGACGATCGCTTGCTCCTTAAGGAAGGAAGATGCTTTGCACTGACGGGACGGAATCATAACTAGACCGATCTTATTCCTCAAAATTGATAGCATCTGGATCAGGTGGGAAGCACTCATTGTAACGATGGTATGTACGACTTATTATTATGAAATATTCTCGTGAAATATCAAATGCAATGGTTGGGCATCCGCATATACCGAATGAACAACAATGTCAAAAAAGAACGAATTTACATAGAGGATAACCTATCCATGATCTAATTCGTTTCTGTGACCCTTGCATCTACCTCGCCGCAGTGTTTAGAAATTGAATAATGAATGTGATACATTACCGGCATTTCCATTACCAAAGCTACGGTATCAAAAGTGCAATGGTATACATGACACAGCGAGGTACTGGGCTGCTGGAAGTCAATCCTCTATGTCTATGGCTTTCACAAGATGCACGACACGCGAGTTTAACGTTCATTAGAGCTGGGATAGGCAATGGGATACGAAGCTGTGGATTACCATTATCACTGGAACCCAATGCAAAAAGAGTGGTGTGGCTTTGTGAGATATTCAAGGCATTCATTTCTTTGAAATGGAATTGAAAAAATGTGGGTTACTCCAAAAATAGAAGAAGCAGCACGTCGACGAATACCAACGCGCAAACTCAGAACCAGTGTTTATTTTCAGCGTGGAACTGAGTTGCAGGAGCACAGGCTAATCTGTTGATGACATAAGCGAGAACGGAAAACTCTTCATACTATGAGATCGGGGATAAATATGAAGCCTTAAAATGTTTTCAAGGTTTAATAATGATAAATAATTGTTCCATACGAGTCACCAATACAAATAAACAAGTAAATCGGAAGAAAATCAGAAAAGAAAACGAAAATTGAAGTAATAGGGAAGAAGCAAGTAACCAAGTGTACAGGACACTACTGTTGTCAACAGCCTTTCGACACCTACCGCACAGCAAAAAAAATGAATGGAACATTGTATCCAAATAGTGACATTGTACGTAGCACTGATAAGCCCTTGATCGCGTTACACAATGGAGCATGAGCGGCGTTATTTTGACAATGTCTCGCTCAATTCTATTAGTAGAACATTGGTTCTACCTTTCCACGAAATGATAATCCATCTCACGAGACTAAATATTTCAAGTAACTCCTGTCACAAAATAATTTAATGTAATGTATTTTGTAATGCGTTGTCAATAATGTGATAGGATAAGACGTTCAATAACATGCAAAGGTTAAGACGTTAAATAACATACAAGAAATGGATACTACAACTTTCAATTGTAGCAATAAGAACGCAGGAGCGATCCGGCACGAAAACAAATATGGAGAAAAATGTATATTTTTAAATTCAAATATACACACCCTTCCTGCAATAAAAATCACCATAATAAAGACCACAGATGAAACAACAATCTTCCCCTGAATCAAATCAGAAAGTAATTTCAATTCAATGAAGGTAGACATAGATTCTGCCCTGTAGTTATTATTCCAAACATGTTACCGCTCTAGAATTTGATACTTTGCTTGATAACCCATGGTAAAGTAAACTATTCCAGCACAGCATGTGATCACATCGCTACACTACATCAGAGCAGGCAGCCCATAGCCGTTGGGCAAGTTGGATGGGTGCAGGCGAGGGCGCGTGACTTGGTTTTTAGTTTTTCCGACGAAGGCATCCGGGTCAGCACTTGGGCACAACTATTTACGGCGGTCTTGACACACTAAGAGGGAAGTAGCCTGTAGGAGGAAGTAGCTCACCGCCTGTGGGAGAAAAATCTTCTAAAAATGCGCGCTATGACACCACTTACAGGTGTTAGTTAATAAGGGATTTTCATGAGGGATCCCTTATAACATAAGAGGCTGTATCAAACTTATACTTGTCTCTATCATTTATATTATTTGTTCTCCCTTCACAGATCTATAATACAAGATCAGCCAGTCCCGTTTTCGCCAAAAGGTGGCCCACTGGCTGGTAGTCAGTATTTTGCAAGCGGGCGGAAATGTGGAGTTGAGAACATTACTTCACCGAGCAGTGTCCACCTGCGATGCTAAAGTGAGGCTGCAGTGAGCAAAAATCTTGGAAGCCTAGCAACCTGGGAAGCCTCGTTACCTCACCCTGATAGCTCGGCGGACGATCAATTGTCGCTCCTATCGTCTTTAACTTGAATGTGAAGCGCACATTCAGCCCATCCTGCATTAAGAGCAGAGACCCACTCCAAGCCTGTCCTCTTTTAATCTCACTGCTCTGGTTTTTTATCTATAAGGGCCTTAATGTGGAGGATGCAGCCTTCTGGGCATCTCTAATTTCGCATCTCCTGTAACTTCCTCCTGTACTTCCATACCCGCACCTCGAAGTACTATAGAATATGGCACTTCAAGCAACAAAAATCGTACACGCCGTACCTCAGAGGAAGTATGGCGTAGTGTGAACGGGCGGGATAACACGCTTGTCGTCCGGCACGGCGTTGAAAAGCTTGGCATGTCGGATCTCGGCTGTCGTAAAGCAGAGTATGGCAGCCACGTTACCGGCGCGATAGCAATAGTTGGGCGCCGACCACACAGTCACCAGTTGTTCGTTGAACAAAAACTTGATGCCTGCACATAACAACAACGCGGAATTGCAAATAAGGTTACTGTACATAACGTAACACCGGTCACAACAGTAGTGCCGGTGTTACGTACAGTAGTAGTACAACAGTAATACCGCCATAAAACATATCATGGGATTACAACTGTGGTGTCAGCATGGTTGTACTCGGGCAACAAATGCGTCGTCAACACATACTTCAACAGAGGGTATGAAATATGGAGTCAGAATAAAACAAAGCATAAGGTTACCAATGTCTCCTGCACCTACTCTGGCAAGGATTAGCACCTTCATTAACTAGCTGATGTGCTCGACACATGAGGGTGAGGGAGTTGGCAGCCATGAACTGCTGCACGACGCGTTCGCTGAAGAGGTAACCAGCCCCTCTGGGGGACGTGGACCAGGACCTGGACATGTCCTCGGGATCACTCCACACCAGGTCACAGAAGGCGCCTGGAAATGCATTATGAACTTATTTCAGAACCTCAATCAGTTAGACGGTACCTTGATTCTAATTAAATAATCAGATGGTAGTGTGCTTCTAATTCAATATATAATAGATTATAGGGATCTGGTTCAATTTATAAGATTGACAATAAAATTTAACTCTGCACGAAAAGGAAATGCTTGCTACGTAGTATAAGATATGGCCTACATTATTTTTGCAACTGGTATAGGAATGTAAATAACATTACTCTACAATTCATGTCCGAGTGTAAACTGTAGCTATGAATCTAATGTTAGTGATTGTTCGTGCACAACTGTTAGCTATTGCTGACCCTTATGAGGAATTTCTTGGTTTCGATCAATGGTGCGTATCTGGTCGAGGGTGTTGATCTCTGGGGACAATCCGCCATGCACGCAGAAAACTTTTTCATCTATGATCTGCAAGTAGATGGAATGACAAGACCGGCAGTCCTTTCCTGAAACATTCAACTATAATTGATACTTACATTTCTTAATCATCAAGCTTCTGTATTTGTAAAAAAAAATTTCCATGAAAGCAACTCTAGCAACAGTTTTTACGTCAATAGAGATATTGTTAAAAACTTTATAAAGGTTTTGAATTCCATATACAAGTATCCCAAAAAATATCAAGCTAAGGGGTAGTAAACTCACTGCTGCAATTGTGAGTAGATCAAATACTTGGCAGCAATATTTCCAGGCATTGGCATTGCCATACTTGTTTTGGCATTCGTCTGAAACGATAAAATTTATAAATACAAATGATAAAAAATATTAGATAATATGCAAATTGAGATACACAGGTCTGACATTTGCTATTTTCAGTTGTCACAATTCTACTAACAGCTCATAGGAGAAACATGGATGGATCATATGGATCCATGATATTTTGGTGAACAAATATTAATTCACATATTTCATTATGCTAATATCCTAGAATGTTTCCTGCTGGCATTAATCAAAGGCCATGGATATACAAGGTGACGACTTGATTGAAATGCTAAAATATCTTCCAAGCATGGAACAGAGTAGCAGTGAATGAGTAATGCTTTACTAGCCCACAACTACCAATATTGAGGATAACAGCTAAAGTGAAATAGCACTGGCAAGGGCCTGCCCTAATACTACAGAGAAGCTAGAGATATATACTATACTTGAGCAAGTCTCAGGGCTCAGGGCGCACCATAAAAGCCGTAGACCTGTGTGATTTGCCGTGACTCATGATTGCCACGCAGTAAAGTAATCCTGTTGGGCCACTTGGCTTTGAGGACCAGCAGCCTAGTCAGGGTCTCCAAGGAATAATATCCTCGGTCCACAAAGTCTCCCATAAATATGTAGTTTGTGTCCGGCACCTGCCCCCCCGTCCGGAAAAGTTCTTCCAAGTCATAATACTGAAAAATAATAATCACCATTAGATTAATAATAAAAAATAACTAACTGGACAATTTATTCAAGGCTGTTTAATGACCATTTAAATTTTTAACATTTTTGACACTTTAAAATACAGGGATTAAGATTAAATGTCATTGCAATATTTGATAACAAAACATTTAACCTATGATGTGGACACACACCTGGCCATGTATATCACCGCACACAGTGACGGGAGACGACACTGGCTGCACATTTCCCTCCTCTAACAGCAAATCACATACCAGACTGCAGAGGAGCTGATGAACACAAAACAAACATTACCAACTTTAGCATAAATGTAATAAGTTTAATTTGTGTAATATATACAATACAAAAAATATGTATAATAGCAAAATTTACAAAAATGATACAGATGTTGAAAAAATAAAGCAATATTGAGAAATCTTTAGCAATAGTATGTTAAGGCAAAATGTTTAGCAATCAAATGATAGGCTTGAGACATCTGATACTAACATTTGATAACATTAATGAGATGAAATTAAAAACTATGAAAATCAATAGCAAAACAATCATATTACATTAAACTTTGTCATAATTTCAATAATTAAAAATTTAAAATTTTATAGTAGTTACATTTAGAGGCTCAATGGTCTCACCTTCAAGTCATTTTCAGGAAGATACTTGCAGTCTTTGGTGATCTCAATCCATTGATCAATATCAGCCATGATTGCAGTATTGAATTAAACAAAATTCCACCACGTCAGGATTTATTACTTTGCATACAACAGTTATATGGACAATTAAACCTGGGACATGAGAAATGCATTAGAAGAGTCACTAATGTTTTGAACTAAGTTGTAAGTTGGTGACCTGATGGTTTGCTACAGGCAGATTCTAAGCAATTCTTTGGGTGAGATAAGCATCTTGATCGTGAAAATTTTCAATCTCAATGTTAAGGGGACCGTCTAACCTAAAATTTTCAATTTTGGCGTTTTCCACTTTTTGGGCTCATCTTAAAGCTCACTTTTCAACGCATTCAACGGTACCAGAATCATCCCTGTGCGTCAAAAAATGATTTCGAAAAAAAAAACTAGGTGGAAAATGAAAAAAGTGATGTTAGAGTCGATAGATATGGTCTTTACGAATCGAATGATATGTGTCTGGATGTTGTAGGACGATATTTGTGGGAGGAGATAGATTTTCTATAGTAACCGTTATTTTTCCGTTTTCTATGAATATCACGTTTTCTATCAATTTTTTCGAAAAATTCATAGAAGTAAAATGTTTTTATTTTTACATTTTACGTTTGAATGTGAAGTTTCATGATGATCGGATAATAACTTTAGGAGTTATAGGCTATCTCCAATTTAGGTTAGACGGTCCCCTTAATCTCTAAAATCTTATTGTCTCCAATCAGAAATATATAGGGTAATGGATTTTATACCTTGTATCTCAATCTCACATTTTTAGAGTCCTTTCTTTTCAAGAAACTTATTAGATATTTGTGGTCTAGTGAGTACACAAGTAAACTAGTATCATGGATACTAAATAAAATCTTTATGCAAACCAAAATCAATTGAAAAAAATGTGTCCTCTATTTACTATTATGAGAAAAATATCAAATAAATTGAAACTATTTATTGCATAAATGATGCACAGATAGGAAAACTGAAACTTTTTGCTTGAATATTGTGGCAGCAAAATAAATTATTTTCATCTAACCTAATCTGAAATTTGTGGCCCAATTTTATACTTGGTAAAATTTCAACTTTATTTTTTTGATAAAGCATCAGATCAACAAAATTTGGAATTTTACACTTTGATCATGTCCCATGAATTCATCTGCCATACATGAAGCCCTACTCACACTCGTTTGCACCTTGGGGTAAACGGAGAAAAATTAGAACCCAGCATAAACTATTACCTGCCACTGAAAACTAGGCTAACATTCATGGCATGAATACACTTTCAACATAAGCTGCAAGAAAATGCTCAATTCAATAATTCAGATAATACCAATCCATTAAAATGAAAAAGCACATTTATTCATAAAGAAAAATTTTATAAACAATAAAAATTATTAAAGAATGAGCAAATATTTCCTGGTAAGGGTAAAATTTTTTCTTTTAAATGATACTATTTACAATTAAGTTCGGCTGACTATTTTGCAGTAACTGTCTTAGAACTATAATAAATGTTGTTTTGCAGACATGCCAAATTTGAAGTGATTTAGCAAGGCTCGTATTGAGCCAGTGTATTTGCCACTTCAAGTCCAGCTGTATTTATATGAGCAGCACAAACAAAAGGCTTGGTTAAAAGTTCAAGTAAATGTCTTTTTATGCAAGAAAATTTTGCAGCCTGAATATTGGTCAAAATTATTTGAATTGAGCCATGAAATTTTGTATGTGGACTTTGATCCAATTTTGTGACTGCATTTTCCATCCATAATGTTATGTTTAATTTTGTTTTAAAGCAGCACAGAAAAATGTACAGAGACTTGTCTTACTAGCCTTTATTAATAATTTTTGTAAAAGACCCAAAAAATGGCATTTTGTTTGATGTTGCATGCATTGGTACTGACTACCCTTCAGACAAAATCTAGCGAGAAAAATATTTACAATCTGAACCGTGACTAGATTGAGCTGTGGTTTCATGGATTTGCGAGACGTGATTCCCTTTCTTTGAGCCATGAATTCCATATCTCGGCCATAATTGGCCATGAAGAGCCATTTACGAGCCACAAAATCATGTACGAAGTCCTATGCGTGGGTTTCCCAAATCTCTCATTTACCTTAGGAACAGCTACACAAAGATTTGTCTTTACTTCACTGGCAACTGATCATGTGATAATGCAGTTCAACCACTCTGACGTGACCGCAACTATGTGATCTTCAACTAAACGTTTTTGAGTCAACTCGTTATCATGACATTGTGCAGGATATTTTGATATTTTGGCAGGAGCATGGAAGTATTGCAGAAGTTGAACACGTTATGAAATGACATGTTTGTGAAGTGCAAACCATGATTTTTTTTCAATCAAACAAAAATACACAACATAAGATCTGCAAGATTTCATACCTATTGAAATTATATGATATTAGATATGCAAAATTCAAGAAAAAAGTAGGACTTTCCCAACTAGGGTTTGATGAGGTAGCCAGGTCAAAGATCTCAGCAACTATTGCAGCTAGAGGCCTGATATCTTGAGAAACTTAATTTAATATTTTTACTATGCTGCAGCTGAAATTGGACACATTATGGATGAAAATTTTTAACCAATTGGCATGGAATGACCAGAGAAAGTCAGTTGCATTCTTGGCAAAAGCATGTATGTCACTTGAGATCTCTAAAAACGGGTGGATTTATTTTCGAAGGATTATCTTTTGCACTTATATACTTGAAATAATCATTTTTTCAAGTTTGATTCTCTTATTTCTCTATAAGCCTAACTGGCTTTCTCCCTAAGAGGTTTGCCAGTCTGCTTTGCTGAATTTGTGAATTTTAATTATTTTTTTTCTTCTGTTATTTATTAATCTCTGTGTATCTGTATCAAAATCTTTATTTTAATTTTATTACTTTTATTTTTTTACTTGAGCAGCCCACTGAGCAAGTAAATTAACTTATCTTTCTTGTCTTGACTGTAAATCTGACTCAGGCATCAATATATCTACTTGGTGAGCTGCGACTGGATTTTTCAAGCCATGGTTCTATAGGTTTGCCAGCCATGATTCCATTTCTTTTAGCCTTGAATTCCATATCTTGGCCATGAAAAGCCAATTACAAGCCACAAACTTGTTTACAAAGTCTCTTGCACGTGTTACCACTTACCCCCAATATCTAATTTTAACCTAAAAGTCAAAAAGCAACAGTAACATTTGCCTATACTTGAGTACCAACTGAACACGTGATGATGCAGTCTGACTGCTCTGACATTACCGCAACTATGGCCATGGTGCAGAGGGTGGATGCAGCGTTGCCAATATATGGGTTTTTAAGCCCTAAGCGTCGCCGGGTAATTTTAAGATGCGTCGCCGGGTAATTTTTAATGAAAAGCCATTTATGCTGAGAAATGAAAAACTATTTACAAGCCACGAACTTATTTACAAGGTTGCATGCACGTGTTGCCCCAAATAACTAATTTTACTCTAAAAACAGTCTGATTGTACAGCAAGTGTCAACTGAACATGTGATAATGCAGTCTGACCACTCTAATGTGACCGCAACTACGTAATCGTAAACTTGATGTTTACATTTTTTTGGTGGGAACTCATCGCAACTGATTTCAGGACAAGCTTCACTGCATACTGATCAATCCAACATACCGGAAACCTTACTTTTTTCAAATAGTTGGCCGAAGACTGACAAATATATTAAATGAAAGAATTTCAATCTAAATGTGTCAGCAAGATCTTCTGAAGGCATAAATTTTGCTACTGAAGCGTCACCAAAGATCTTGCAATATTCATCCACTCTCTCACAGTGGAACTATGGTATATTCATGTTCATGGAAATGTTTTGGGTTGACTTGTTGTTATTACCTTCTGCAGGATATTTTCGCAGGAGCATTGAAGTACTGTGAATTGTGGGAGTTGAAAATTTTGACATGTTTGAAATGACATGTTTGCGAACTGCAAGTGCAAACTGCAATTTTTTCAATCAAACAAAAATACATGACATTAGAGCTGCAAGATTTCATACCCCATACCCAGGATGGTGCTGTTTTCCGCGGATTAATCCGGCGTAAACAAGGCTCCAAGCCCTTCTACTGGCGTACAAAGAGCTAAAATAACGTTATTGGCGCACACCCCTGGAGTACGTCCGCATCTGGCTTGTCTCGACGTACATCTGGCGTCTGCATCTGGGTGATCTGGCTTGTCCCGATGTACTGTACGACCGCATCTGGCTTGTCTTGGCGTACATCCGCATCTGGGTGGCTTGTCCAGACTCCCGGCGTACGTCCTCATCTGGTTTTGAGCATTTTAGTGCATACTAATGCATTTTAAGGCAATTTAGGGCCTTCTAATGCAATCTAGTGCGTTCTATTACGATCTAGTGCGTTCTATTACGATCTTCTAATGCAATCTAGTGCGTTCTATTACGATCTAGTGCATTCTATTACGATCTAGTGCGTTCTATTACGATCTAGTGCGTTCTATTACGATCTAGTGCCTTCTAATGCAATCTAGTGCGTTCTATTACGATCTAGTGCATTCTATTACGATTTAGTGCCTTCTAATGCGATCTAGTGCATTCTATTACGATCTAGTGCATTCTATTACGATCTAGTGCCTTCTAATGCGATCTAGTGTGTTCTATTACGATCTAGTGCATTCTATTACGATCTAGTGTGTTCTATTACGATCTAGTGCATTCTATTACGATCTAGTGCATTCTATTACAATCTAGTGCCCTCTAATGCTATCTAGTGCCTTCTAAAGCAATCTAGTACGTTATAATGTGTTATAATGCATTCTAATAGTTTTTATTGTGTCCTAATGTATTCTCAAGGTTTCTGTTGCGTTATACGTAATGCAGTGTAGTGTGTTTTAACATGCTCTAATGTGTTCTAATGCATCCTAGTGTGTTTTAATGAGTTCAAAGCTGTTCAACATAACACATCATAACATAGCACAGCATAACAACATAGTACCACATTATAACATTGCACAGTATAACAACATAACACATTATAACATTGCACAGTAAAATGACATAACACATCATAACATAGCACAGTATAACAACATAACACATAACATTGCATAGTATAACAACATAACATAACACATCATAACATAGCACAGTATAACAACATACCACATTATAACATTGCACAGTACAACAACATAACACATAATGTAGCACAGTATAACAACATAACACATCATAACATAGCACAGTACAACAAC